TGGTTTTCCCTCACATTCTAGTGTTAACTCCATGTTCCTGGTTGCTCACCCACAGCTGGATGCCTTGCATGTTTTGCCTGTATCTGCGATCATCTGCCTTCCAAGATTTTCTATGGATACCTTCTTAAACACTGAAGTTATGAATGCTCAGAAATTTTTGAAAAGAACAAAAACAATTCAGACATACTGACTAACAATGATACCTAATGACGAGATTAAAGAGGTAATTATAGACAAAGGGATTTTTAAACGCAATGAAGGCATGTAAGTTGACATTTGGGAAGAATGGGGCAAGAAAGATCATTCAATACCAGTTAAGCTATATTGTTGCTTTATAAATTTTTAGAAAAATAATAAATTAGAAACCTATTGGTTTCCTTGTTTTTTTCTCTTTATCATTTTACTTTATGGACACCTAAAATCTTAAGAGATAAATCAGTCCTCACTTTTCATCATATCCTAATTTGTTACTTCACTTATATAAACAGTTTTAATAACGATTAATAATAGAACTTTTAAAAATCATCTTTTGAAGTACCACAAATAATTAATAACTATATCAGAAGGGAGCGATGGAAGACAATTCTGCCTTTCCAAATTTAAAAACTCTTATAAACTAACACTTATGAAAATATTCAGTATGATGTTGGATCATCAGCACCCATACTCTTCAGACTATGTTTTTGTGCCTCTAAGTCTGCCTCTGCCTTAATACTTTCGATACTAAAGACAAATTCAGCCAAAAGTCCAGATCTAAAATATTCCCTAAATTTCATCTAAAATGAAACTCTTGGCAATAGATTCAAATATATACATGCTATAATGGCAACTTTTGAAAAGTGTAATCGCGCTTTCAGCAAAACTCTCAGATCAAATGGAATTTATTAAAGAAATTAAAACTTCCTAAAAATTCTTCTCGAGATGATTTTAAATATCATGAGGCCTCTCCAGATTCCAAATATATTATGAACATTAATTAGATATTTAATTAGTGTTAGATTTTAAACTGTGACAACTATATCCCCATATTCTAACAAAATGACTAGCACAAAAGGGGTCTCAATAAATGTTTTTAATTCATAAGTGCTTATTTTTACTATCACAATGTTTTTATTAGATTTATATTTCAGCAAATTGTGCTTTTATGTGTTCTATGTATTCATTACATAAACTCCTTCTTCAGTAATTTAGTCTTACAAGTCACATTATATTTGTATATTTGTCTATGCATATTTTAATCTCTTTTACTAGCTGTTCAACTTTACAATTTCTCTTGATCTAACATAGTAAATACATCCAGTACTTAGAGAAAATAAGCAGATTCTGAAAAAAAGATTCATGTTACAAAAGAGTAAAAGAAAAGTTTCTAGAGAATTAAAACTAGCTTCCAGTAATCAAAAAAAAAAAAAAAAAATTCTAAGGAAGTATCCCAAATTATCAAGAACTTGTCATTCAAGATTTAAGTAAAAGCTTAATAAATGTTTTAAAAATTCTTATTATTGAATTATGATCTTTATTCAGGTTTCAATATACTCTATTGAATTTTGGGGGTTCATAGCCAAAAAGGGTCTGAGAAGCTAATTTTAAGGTTATTAAACAACTCCTTCCTTTCTATCCTAATCCAGAATTAGCACTCAGGTATTTTTTATTTTTTATTTATCTATGGCTGTTAAAATTCTGTTAGCAAAGATTCTTTTACACATACAACAACGAAAGTCTCACCCACAGGGCCCTTAATCCTATAAGATACATTTCCTTAGCGATATCTAATACTGTGGAATTTATAAGAAGTCTTTTCTCATGGTCAGAAAGATGTTCTGTTGGCATTTAACCTTGGCTTACACACTTCTAGAAAACTCTGTCTGGTTCCTCTAATCCTCCTTGCATATCTGTTTTAGGAAGACAACAGAAGTACACATTTTCTTCATTCCTGTTGACTACATAGTCTATAAAAAACTGATGAGAACTCACATCTGAATGGTCTAACCTTTGCTATTGCCCCACTGGAACCAGGACTGTGAAATGCTCCCTAACAGGGAGACCCTTTCAAATATAGTTTACTGGATGGCTCTTTGTCTGTGTCTTTTCCATTTTAATCTCTAACCTATGAGAAAAAAACTTTAAGAGCCACAGGAAAACGTACCCATTCGTTTGTTTAGAATAAAAACAAAACAACACTTTTCTATCTTCTCCCGAGGGGAAAATGAGGAGCTTGAATGTTGATGTTATCACACCACATGATCTGACATTTAAAAATACGTGTGCAGTATAGGGTTAACATAAAAAAAAAAAAGAAAGAAAGAAACCTATCCTTTTGAACAGTCTCTGATTTTATTATAAAATAAACGAAAGTGGGGCGGGGGGTGGGGGGGTGGAGAGTGTCTTTTGGATTTTTCTAAAAGAATGGGTAAAGTACAGTTTTTTTCTTTGCCTTTTCTAATTTGCCTTTGTGCTCTTGACCCAAGAAACTGTATCTGATTACATATCAGAGAGAATAATAAACCTAAATTGATGACTGACATTTTAACAGACTGAACAGTAATATTTCACCACTGAAATCCTGGACAGTTTTCTAAGGGTTCTTTCTACAAGTGGGCAACATAAATAGCCAGCACATTGAGGGTTTAATTATGAAATCAGAAGACTTGATTCACGACCCTCTTTTCAAAGCCCAACACCTCTTCATTCTCAGACACGATGTCTTAGAGATGCAATCACAAGCACTTACCTTGTTTATTTCCCAGTCTTCCTCCAACTTTTCCACTGCAGCTGAGTCCTGAGTGGACTCCTGCATATCAGAAGTGATCTGCTTCTCTCTGCCTGGCAGAGTAAACTCTCCTTTCTTTTCTGTTGAGCATTTTGATTTGAGAATGCTGTTGAGATAATTTTCCATCTCCTGCTTAGCAGATTCAAGTCTGTTTTCCAAATCTTTTTGTTTATGCTTAAGTGATTTTATATCATCTTTAATAATCTTCTGTCCCACTGAAGATGTATTCTGCTTGATGGATTTTGCTAAACCTAAAATCTTCTCTAATGTGCCATCTTGTAAATGAAGTCTATTTTCTAGCTCCTGTGAGTGGAGAAAAGATTGTCACAAGAAGTATCCATTCAATTGTCACAAGAGTTTAATTGACTCTTATAAATCACAGCACATTCTGCTTTACTAGTGGGAAGAATAAAAAAATTTATTAACTCATACCACAAAGAAGAAACTTTGGGTAAAATTTAAACCAAGATAGCATTTCAGATCAAATTCTCGAAACACATTTTCATGTGCAAGTAGAAATTCATAAGAAGTAACAAATTTTCACAACACAGTTCCCGGTATATTGAAGGCAGTCAATATATATTTGTTGAGTACATATTTAGTTCAAGATATAGACTTTTTACATAATCAAAACACTGAAGCACCTACTACTTGTAAAACATTGAACAAAGAATAAAAGGATCATTTAGAATGTGCCCATATGAATCTAGTGTTAATATTTAAAATTTAGAGCAAAGCTTAAATCTATCTAGTACAATATCTAATAGCAGGAAATCAATCAATATTTACCAAATGCATAAACAATTGAGGCTAATTTGAGAACTCTAGACTCAAAATGAATCTAAGGTTCTATAGCAACTACTGATGTTACTCTTGAAACAGAATAAGCCTTAAAGTTACTAGGTAAACAATATAGGTTTATTAGTCACTATCCTAAAAGCCCACACAATAAATATGCATTCATTCAATTAACAACAAGTATTACAAGGTTTAAAGTTACCTAGATGAATAAAATATAGTCCCTTCAAATTCTTATAGGCTAGTGAGAGACAGAGAAGTAAACAGACAATTGTAATAGGATGTGAAAAGATGTATACTAACACATATGCCCAGGTCACTGAAACATTTTAAGCTGAAAGAAGGGAGTTCCAGGTTGGCATTTTAGAAAGGTCCAGCACAGCCATGGGGAAGGTTCACTGGAGAGGGTGACACTGCAGGCAGGGAGCCCATTCAGAAGTCTCATGCAGAGATCTGTGAGTTGGGGGCCTGTTCTAAAGCAGCAATAACAGGGATAATGGGGGAGGGACAAACTGTAGAGATATTCCAGAGATGAAAGAGATAGCACTTGATGTCTGACTAGATTGGAGAGTCTGGGAAAGGTTATCCAGGCTTCTGACTTGAAAGCCTGGAGAGGTGGTGGAGATATTCTTGGAGTTAGAGAACATAGTCGATAAAGCAGTTTCATTGGTAGAGAGCCAGGGGATAAAGAAAGGGAAGGGGATGATGAGTTATTTTTTAGACTTACTGAACTGCAAATAACTGTGAGACATCAAGTACAGATGTCTGCTGGGATTCAGAAAAAGTACTCATCAGACTAGGGTCCGAAGCCTTCACTCTGTCATTTGACCTGAGTGCCCTTGAAAGTCCTTCACCTCCCAAGGACTCAGTTTATCATGTGCAAAATGAGGGGTCTGAATTTGATGGCCTCTGAGTTTCCTTCTGGCTATAGCAAAAGTCTATATTTTAATATTTCAACAGAAGCCCGAGCTCCTCAGGGTTAGGCTTATGTCTTATACTTTTCTCAGTATCCATGGCACTCAGTGTCTTGGATATGATGAACCCTCAATGTTTGTCACATTACCACTGCTAAAAAGGGAGAGAGACTTGTCTTCATGTCAGGCCATTCTACAGGAGAGGTCTGGCTTAATTCCCAAGTCCCTAAAAGGAGAGATGAAACATCACCAAGCTCACGCCAGCAGTGCTGCCCTGAGACTCACCCCATGAAATCTCCAGTCAAGAAACTATGAAAGGAGGAGTAAAGAAAAATGCTTTACTTTGTTTTTGTCTAGGAGACACCACTGGGGCCTATTTATGTTGGCTATGCAAACAGTGAGAATCTAAGGAATGTGTTTTGAGGGTGTGGGTAAAAGGCTGTAGTCCTCATTGTATCCGGTTAGGTGTTGTTGGAGAGAGTGGGAGAATTTTGGAAGCCCTACATCTGGAAAGAGCGCGAATAAATGATATAACTCCCATCACCCCATGATGAAGAACGCAAAATTGGAATATTTCTCCCCGGATTTTGTTGTATTAGATGCATCCTTGACTACTCAGTTTCTCTTGGAATCACTGTGCTGTCTCTGAAAGAGAGATATCCAGGAGCTACAGACTGGTCAGGGGTGGAACTGTCTCTGAGGGTCCTGAACGCAGGGACTCAAATTATAAAGGCATTTGTCCACAAAAAGAGTATTCCCATTTTTAATAACTGGGTAGAACTTTAATTATCTAATAGTCATCTGAATGGCACTTGAATTTCTAAGCAAAGACACTGACTAATCAAGTCGGAATTAAAATTGAGTTTTTAAAATATCTATCATGTCTGGACGTTGTTTAATACCTGCAGTTCCTGTAGTTTTTCCTCAACTGCTGTTTGATCCACAGGCTTGTCAGAAAAACTAACAAATTCCTTGGAGAAATTGTCCAATTCAGTATGCAGGTCTGTGATGCAAACCTGGTATGTGTGGTGTTCTTGAACATGACCTTCCAATTTTTGCACAGAATCCTAAAAATAAAACCATTGACAATTTGTGAATTATTTCTTTCTGAATTTTCTCATTCAGAAAGTAAACTGTTCATAAATACTTGTTTTATGAGAGTTCATCTTGAAATAGGAATATGGCCATCAATCATCCAGTTCATTTAGATTTCAGTGTCTGTGATCTTTCACTGTAAAACCTCCCTCTTCCTCCACAAAAATGACCTTTATTAAAACCACATTTCTTTCCCCTGTGCTTCTTTGCCTTCATTTCATTCCTGAAGACAATCTATTTGTCAAGAGATTTACAAAATGAAATGGCTACAAATTATATCATCAAATCACAAACATGTATAATAAAGCAGCTTCTTTAATTATCCTTCTTACTGAAACCAAGTAACCACATTTGGAAATGAGACTATATATATGAGATCAACCTAAGCCTTGATTCCTTTCGTAAGATTCAAACTCCAAAACGGTGCGTTAGGAAAAAGTAATACTAACTCGAAAGCAAAACTATCTTCAGGTTATCTTCCTAGAATAAGAAAATAAGGTGACTACACCTGGTCAGAAAAGTAGCAACTATTAAGCTAAACAACTTACAGCCAACCGGATATATCTTAACCCCTGTGCATTCCTTCTATCTGTATAAGGAGGTTTTCTTACCCAGGTAATTCTTATATTGAAGCTGGCTTTGGAAACCATAAATAATTCTCTTAAGGGAATACACTCCCTCATGACGAGCTAACATTTTATCTTTTAACTCTTTTACTGCAGATCGCGTGGAAAGATACAAAGGAGGGACACTGACTAATAAGATGGTTTATACGGAATACCAGATACAAATTATTACAAAAGGTAGATGACAGATAGATGGATTGGTGGATAGATGGATGGATAGATGGATGGGTGCACAGATGGTGGATTGGTGGATACGTGGATGGATAGATGAATGGGTGCACAAATGATGATGCATGAATAACTCTGACACCATCACCTTCATCGAGATGTCTAAAAAATCTGAACTCTTCCTATTCCTGAAGTGGAGAACTTCAGTGAGAGAAAATAATATCACCACCAAATAATACACAATGGATTCCTCTAGCAAAGCTGGATTGATTCCTCCAGTCCTGAGGAGTTAATAATTTTATCTTAAAGTGATAAATTAAATTTTAAATGCTTTCAGTTTACTAAAAGAACAACAAAAAATAGTTCTATATGTAAACCTTCAATAATTATGCATAACTATGACAATCATTTAAAATTTTATTTTGACCACTTCACCTCTAGTTGCTGAAGAAGACTTTCATGTAGATGCTTTATTTCCAGCCAAGGCTCTTCACTGAAGTTGGGATTTTTAGTGCATTCTAAGAGGTAATTTCCTTGAGATTTTAACTCCTTTAGCAAGGATGTCAAATCTTGTGCTTTCTGGAGGAATTTCTTATAAATTTTTAACTGAGTTTTCTTCTCCTGCAAACCATGCTGCAGAGCAAAGCCCGCTTCTTGTTTCTTCTTTAGTTCTGTGAGCATTAATCTCAGGTCCTCCTTACTTTGCAAATACTTCTCTCCTTCTAGTACAAGCTTTTCTTGATGGCTAAAATTAATGAAATATTTTACAAAGGAAATGACACTTAGCAAAATGGAATGGCATTTGCATATTATACAAATGCAACATACATTATAATAAAAAGCAATAAAACGACACTAATATGTATTACCCCAAAGACTCTTCTGGCATTACAACATTCTAAATAGCTCAGAAATTAAGACAAATTATTTGTAGTATTACTAAAAAAAATATATATATATTGTTTTTTATTATATAATTTGACCTGAGAATGAATACTTAATAATTTTGATTTTGAAATATCCCAGTTTTTATTATATTTAAATATAATTATATTATCCTATGTTTTTCTTTTTCATGTAAGTAAAATAAATAAGCATTCAGTACGTTGGCTAACTAGTATATGCTTTTGATAGCTTAAATTTAGCTTTCATCTGGTTGTCTCTTTAGAAAAGTATAAAATTCACATTTCCATCAAACATTAAATGTAACATTTATGATGTGATATGAATTAAAAGTTTTCACCAGAATCATGTCCATTGAATTCAGACATTTATCAATGTTTACAAATTTAAGAATCTCTCACGATATATATTTAAAAGCATTAATTATTCTACAGTAAAACTAGGCAGGTACTGAGGTTGTCTGGGGGAAGGGAGTTTCAGGGAGGAAGGGAGTTTCATTGAGGAAGTGAAGTACTGAAGGTGGAATGACAGCCAGACTACGTTAATTTGTTACCAGGGCCCCCACCCTTTGATGCACCAGCCAAAGTAAACGCTTGCCACGGAGTTAGACACTGTTTTACATCTGATCCAGAGAACTATTCCTCTTCCTTTCTGCTTGACATTTTGGATGTCCCTGACCTACTGACTTTCTCTCCAACAGATATTATATCCAAATCCAGGAGGCAGACAAAACATGCTTGTTATGGCTCCACTGTACAGTGAAGAACCATAAAAGTGGTGAAGGCACGCCCTTTACCTTAGATATGTGTTGGCTAAATGGAGTGTGTTGACCCACTGGTTCTCAATATCAGTAACGGTCTTTGAAACCAAAGGAACCTTGCTGGTCTCAGCCTGACTCATGATCATCTGTATTTTAGCGTCCCCTTCAGGCTTTAGTAAAATGATTTCCTGAATTAAATAAAAAAGATTTAATGATCTCATTCATATGACTTAGGGATAGTACATATATATCTTTTCATTTATAAACATTATATTCAGATTCTAACTGCAGAGATTTCAAAATTACCCTTTCATTTTTAATATGCCCAAAAGACAAAGATATCTCCTCCATGTTATACCGGACTGATTCTTAATAAACATTTGTCACATTGATCTGATTGCATGCCTGCTCTCCTCTTGAGTTTCAACTGCCTTCAAAGAAATAACATGCCAAAAAACAAAACAAAACAAAACAAAACTGGCAAATCTTATCTATTCCATTATTTATGAATGGAGAGTTAGGGTAACAACCTGAATGAGACATTCTTACACACCCCAAGATGAGACTTACAGCTTCTCACAGGAAATTACGGTGTCCCTCTTGTCAAATCTTGTCTCCCGACCATGACGTAATTAATGCCCATTCCCTGTCTTTTTTTTTCCCTCCTTTGCTCTGAACTATCGAGCTCTTCCCTTCTTGGAAATTATTTTAGATTCACCTTTTCTGAAAAACCTTTTGGATATAATTCCAAAATATTCCACTTATTTCATTAAATCTCACCAACCCTGAGAGCTCACTATTCTTAACCATCTCTTCCTCTAACAATGCTTTGGTTAACATGATTTCAATTCTTCTGAGTTTCTTTTAAGCACATGTGCTTCTGTCCCCTGCACTTTAAACTAGCAGTATTTATTGAATCTCCACTTCGATAAAAGTGAGCTGGAGATTCACTTGCGTTCCACAAGCCACTCGGTATCTAGTCATCTGTATGAACCTTACATATCCACTCTGCAGAAGAGTTCCTCTCCAGCCCTTGACATTGCTGATGCCTTTGCTGTACTGATACATATTTTATATCCTGGCAAACTCCACCTGCCACAGCTCCAACTTATTGCCTTTATTTCAATCCTCTGCACTCAGTGAAGATGAACAATAACTGAGAATTGCCCTCAGAAAGGGAGACTTCTCTTTCTTCCATAAGCATTAAAATAATTTCAGAGCCATTACAGCCCTTCTCTTTTATAAGCTCAGTCACCTGAATGTCTCGCCTTTCCACGGTGATCCTATTTCCCATTAAGAAACAAATCTTTGACATTTTCCTCTAAATGTTTTCAAAATTAGAGTTCACTCTGACCTCAGAAATTTAGTTTCCACAGTTTTACCTTTATTTTTTGGATTCTTTCCTCAAGTGGCATGTGACCTTCAGATGAATTCAAAACCATAAGGGACTCTTTAATCCCTGTTATCCAATGAATTACATCATGTACAAGGTCATTAAAGCTCTGGTCCTCGGCAGGAGGTAATTTATCCTCTTCTTCAATTTCACATATTTGTCTCAATAATGCCTGGTATCTATCAATCAAACGTGTTGATTCCGCTATTATTTCTTCTTCTTCAGTAAGCCCATATTCCTTTAAAGAGTTGTTCAACTGGGCCGCAGATTCAAATTGTTCCCTGTAAATATCACTGAAAGTTTATAGGAGCCACAATACCATGTAAGGAACCATAGTTCCCAGCACATATATTTTACGCAAGATCAGCTATACCTCTTCCTAGCTAGAGTCTGGCAAACTAGCTCGGTTTTCTCTTTTGACTCTTCGATTTCTTTCCATTTGTCTTCTTGATTAGTCAACCACGTACTCAAATTTCTATGGTCATCCTGTAGTCTAAAAGAACACCACATGTTAGAATATAAAAGAACCAAGAAGTGTTTATTTGAAGAGAATGTTGGCATGAATTTTGGGAGCCAATCGGGTTTTTAGTATATTTTTTTGCTATTCTTTGGAGAAAATTTAATTTGTAACATTAAAATCTGAATAATAGCCTGTATTACAGTGGGATTCTATATAACAATGAGCTACACAAATGTATCAAATAGGAAACAAACAAACAAAACATTTTCGGCCTCTCCTTTAAACCTCTGTCATATTAAATAATTTAAAGAATTCTCTAAACTTCTATCTTCCTGGAGTCTAACTTAGATTTGACAGTGTATATTTAACATATGGTATTTGTGTGTATTATGTATCTCAATGCTAGCTGTACTGAGGCGAAGTACATATAAAAATATAATTAGAAAACATGTTAATTAGATGTCATCTTTATTTCCTACCTCAGTAGCTGCTGCACGTAGTCACCAAGCTCCTTTGCTCGCAGCTGGCATACGGACTCCATTTTTTCTAATTCAATTTCTTGACTTACAATCCAACTGTTAAGCTCCTTAACATGTGCTTTGGGCAGATGTTTCTTCACATGATTCAGTACAGTTTCCACCTGCTGTATTTTACTGCCTCTTTCTTCAAGAGTCAAAAAATCCTTAAAAAAGACAGAAAGTCTGTGTCCTATCGGGAAGTCTAAGTATGGTCACTGTCACCCCTATGACACTTTCCAAGACAGTACATAGACATGCCATCTTCTTAACATCCTATACAAGAGGAGTGCTATGGAGATATAACTCCAATAAAAAAAGATGATTTATGTTAGTTCTAGAGTGTGTACACATCTGACTTTCTGGAAATGATATCAAGCAAAGCAATACAGTGCCACCGTGAAGGTCAGCAGAAGCAAGCCTAGGAAAGCTGCATTTTTCTTTCCTGGCCTTTCCTAAATACTTGTTCATTTCTGGCAATCAACATGTAAAACTAAACAGACTAAACAAACCATTCTCTATTTAACTTTGTACAAATCAGAATTTATTTCAATGTTTGTGTTTAAAGGTTAGAGCTGAAGACCATGTAATGAGCAAAGTTAAAGGCAGAACAGAGCAGAGCAGAGCAGAGAAGAGACAAGACAAGACAAACTGGAACTTTAAACTAAAGGCAGTTCTATTAATAAAGAACAGCATCATCAAAGCAAGGAATCAGAGAACGTTTAATGCCATCAATAAGCTTGAGAGCATGACTTACCACAAAATTAAAGTACTAAAAATCTACCCTAAAGTATTCAAGAGTTAAGGGTACAATATGCATTTTAAACGTTCAGGCACTTGGCCTTTTATTTCAGGCTACCCTCCATAACACTCTGACCAGCAGTTTATTAAAGTTTAACTCAATTTTTTAAAGAAATATGGCTGGGAAAAGTCTTAAAAAATCAAGAGATCTCTTTCAGGAAAGTAAGACGGATTACAAAATCCAAATTAGGTAAGGTCTTAATTTCTCTTATCAAATATGATTTTAATGCAACTTATAAACAGCATCTTAGAACAGGTGTGAAAATTGAACTTGTTTAAATCACTTGCACCCTTATCCAGTAAACATAAGAGTTTCAAAATATCTGGGGAAAAGCCAAGTTATATGGAAATACTATCTTTGCAGGGAATTAATAAGTCAAAGTAATTATTATCCTATCTACTTAAATATAGTTCTATGCCTCTAGTATTTGAGTTGTGATAAATTCTAATTGAAATTTATACACATCTTACAGAAAGTTTTTGTAGCTTTTGTTCCATACTCGTTTTTGTTTCTGATGATTCAAAACATTCCTTAAGGTTCATTTTAATGCTGTTGAACCAATCATTAAAGTTTTTACACTGATCTGCAGAAAGAAAAAAAAATCTGTATTCATTCAAGGAAGATGTCATATATCTAGTTAAAGTGAGAGATTGTGAAACTTGCTTCCTACACCATAGATACAAATCATTGTATAAAGAACATGGTAATGAGTTGAAACCAAATTTTGAGGACTAATAGAGTCTTGAAAGTAATTGTGGTGTATTTTCTAGACTAAACCTCCCTTCCAAGCATACAGGACACCCAGAGACACTAGCAGGAGCAGCCTGCTCACAGGCACGTCTCCAGACACACTCACCACAATTAGCAAGTCAAAGAGGAGGATGCTGGTGATTCTCTTTCTTGAAACAAAGATTTGCGACTTAAAAGAAATGGATGCTATTTATGACATGCATAGATCAGTGAGTACTTCCTCCCAAAAGATTTATCCGAATAAATCCTTAATCAATCAGTCAATAAATCAATCAATCCATCCATCCTTTTCCTTAAATATAATCTGTGCAACCACCTCTAAGTGAAGCTTAGATTAGCCTTTGTATTCACAGTGCTTATTCATACTTCAAGATTCCCAGAAACACAGTAAGAGAAACATGACACTCACCATTCAATAACTTAGAAAAGTGATCTTGCAAAACACTTTTTTTGGTATTAAATAAATCGCTGACACTTTCATATTGCTTTTTTAATTCAGAAAGTTCAGGAGTCAGACAACCTATTTGATTCTCAAGTAATATCATACTGTGTTTTTGCTGTAGAATTTGCTGTTGTATCTCCTAAATATATAAACAAACAAATAATCATTGTCTTAAAATGAGCTCAATTTACACAAAGCATACCAGATCTCCACTGTTTTTGTAAAATTCTAGGTGGTTTTCTATTGGGTGGATTTGTTTTTTCTTAGCCAGTAAATGTATAATGCAAAATGCAATTTAATATCAAATCATCACTGTCCACAAAGCAGGTTAAACAGCCAAATATACACAAATTGTTCTGAAATTTTTCCCTAGGCTTTCGTTTTTAACTATTTGTATTAACCTCAAGAGGGAGGTCAAGACCATCAGAAATAAATGTGAAAATAAATCTGAACCACAGAAGAGAAGCCACTGGAAAGTACCTCTAGTTTGGTAAAGATCTCCAAGCTGTCGGAAGGAGACAGGGCTTTCAAGAGGGACTCAGTCATCCCAATCTGGGTCTTGGCTTGATCCAGGTCCTCCCTTAGCTCAGCGGTGCTGCCACTGAGTGCAGAGCAACTGGGTTCTCCTGTTAAACGCATTTTTACATCCTCTATCTTATTCAAAATAGAGGTCTCCATGACCTGAAATCATGAAACATATTAAGTACTATACCAGACTTTACTAAACTAGATTTTAAGACAACCATATTGCTAGAGAAAGGGTTGAAACTTCATTTTAATGTGAAATAGTCTTCTCTATGTCTAATTCTTCATTGTTATACATCACTAACAGGACAATTCAATTGTGGCCTTTAAAGAAAAAGAGTTTTAACATGAAAAACTGAAACTGACCTTTTGATTTTTTTATGAGACCAATCTAAATCTTTTCCCTTAACACAAGTTTTATCTAGCATACCGACTGAGGTTATTTCATAGCACTCATTTGAAAATATATAAAAACATATAGTAATAATTAAATAGCCAGCATTTGTTGAGTGTTTATTATGTACACAGCATCACGACAAGCACTTAATGTACAAAAATACAGACTTAAGAAGGTTAAGTAAGTGTGCTCATGATCACAAAGCTAATAAGTGGCAGTGCCAGTACCTTACCCAGAAAGTCTGATTCACATTCAGCCATATGAATATTCATATTTAGCCACTATACACTTTGAACTACATAAAATTGTACAAATTTCGTCCACGACAGAAACTGTCACTTGGGGCAATCTCCCCATTTCTCCATCCAGCAATTAATAAACCTACAGTCACTCGAACCATATTCTTTTTTCTACACCCAAGACACTCATGAGGAAATCCTTGTTATTTTCATGGGTTCACGTAACATCTCCCCCTCCACACAAGAGGCCTGGGAAATAAGTGAAATGAGAATAAAAGAATGCAAAAGTCATAGTATTCGTTCTAAATGTAGAACAAAGATAAACTATGCTATGCAGACTATCGAAAATTCAATTGAACTTAATATAGAAATTGAACAAAGGTGAATTAAAGAATGATCCTAATTTTATTTTAGGTTTAAGATTAGAATTCTGTTTTATAAACATTACTTGAGAATACTTTCACTGTAACTTTTAAATAAAAATTCTCTTACCTGTAGTTCAAGAGGTATTTCACTGCTTTGAAGCAGAAACTGTATTTTAGCCACTCTTTTTGAAAATTCTGAAGGTTTCTGTTCATAAACTTGTAACTCTTCCTAAAACACATAATTTTAATAAAAATATTGTCATTTTATATTTTCTGGTACCCACAACTGCTATTGTTAATACAGAAAAACTGAGATAGCCTTTGAATTGGCCCTAATCACTTGTTTTTTTTTTGATAGAATCCTAGGAATTACAAACCTAGGTGCCTTCATGGGTCAGGCAAACATTACAACTAAGTGAAGAATTCTAGCTGTAAGACAATAGAGAAGGGGCTAGGCTTGTACCATACTGGCATGCAGGACCTACCTAAAGGAATTACATTTCATAAATTTGTACATATAAATTATGTCAACACACATGCACATACACACACACACATCTCGCTGGCAGAATATGGCCCCCAGGCTGGCAGCTTATAATCCTTAACTTCATATTTTTAAACAACCTTAACTTCACATTTTTACATTTGTCTGTACTTCAAGAAAAATTTAAGGGACTCAGTCATACTTCATTCATGCTTAGGAAAGTCATAGTTTACTTCATGATTATCATCATACACTCAGAAAACTCAAATCTGCATACATTTTGAAAATCTTTTCCAAATGTGTAAAAATGGGTATCTGAATTTAAAAGTGAATAAAATGACAAATTAGAGAAAAAATTAGATTTGGAGCATTAGACTGGACATACTGTAAAGCCACCATGCATACATACACACATTTTGATATTATATTGAACTAGATACAATTGCCAATATTTCACTGTTTTTGACCTACCAAGATAGTGATTTTATATGGACCAAACTAATAATATGTAAACAAATAAAACAATTAGGAAAAAATCTTCCTAGAGTTAAACCATATAATTTTAATTCTTTGTACATAGAAAAATCTGAGATTATGGTTTTAAAAACTAGCCTTTTTAAAAACTGTATAAAGTTGATATGCAGCCTTGTGTTTTTCTAATCTTTTTGAGGAACTGCTTAATTCAAATTATGAATAATCCATAATCATGATCTAGATCAGAGATTAACAGAATAAGGGCTGGTAGTCTGTTTTCATAAATAAAGTTTTATTGGAACCCAGCCACTTTCAAGCACTTATGTATATTATCTGTGACTGACGGCTTTCATGCTGTAAGAGCAGGACTGAATAGTTGTGACAAATGATCTACAAGTGATCAAATGATCTACAAACCTAAATATTTACTATTTGGCCCTTTAAGAAAAAGTTTACCTAATCCACAGGCCTAGACAGACCGCCTGGGAATTATGCATTTTGATGGTGCTTCTGCTAGGAGTTTTTAACTTTTTATACACCATAAAGCCCTCTGGCAGTCTGGTGAATCCTATGGACCCTTTGCATAATATTTTAACCATAAAACAAAATGAACGATATAGGGCTGTAAAGGAAAAAAATTACTGGGTTAGTTATCAAAATAGTAAAAAGAATTTATACTATAGCAATATATGTGTTTCTCTATTAATACCTTAAATAACAGGAAATAGCAGTACACCTATTAAATACCGTATTTTCAAAGTAGTGATAAGGATAATAGTTGCAACAATAGGATGATGATTTTTAAAATATGATATTCTTGATAACAATGTCACATATAAGTTCATCCTACTATGTCTGTTGATTATAACACATATTACATTTTAGTTAAACATTCGTGAAAATAAAGATGCAACTTCTCTCATGTAAAGCCATTTCACCCACAAACCCCTTGGGTGTCTGTGAGCCCCAGATTAATAATCCCTGCTAACATCTTCCCGGATATTAAAAAGAAAACAATAGAGTCAGGTCCCACTCAAGAGATAATGAAAAAAAGAAAAGATTTCTTTGTGATTTCTCTACCCCACATAAGATAGCAAACTCAATACTAAAATGTCAACTGTGTAAAACAAAAGAACAAATATATTATCTCTGTTGAATTACCTTCAGTTTTTCTCTTTCTTCTTCAGTCAGCTGATGCAACTCCATTTTTCGAAGGACCTTTTCAGTCCATTCATAAATTGCATCCCTTAAATTAAAAAGTTTGTCCCATAATGCCAGAGCTCGGCCAAGATTTTCATAGTAGTCTTCTGTCTTCTCATTTATCTACCACAAATAACAAAGAGAAAACCATTGTTTCAGTCAAACACTATTTTTAAATAAAATTTGAGTTTACCTTTACTGGCTATTTTTCTTTATTCGTTGACAAAAAAATTGCTTTAATATATCATGTAGTTCTTTCTTCTACAAAAAAAATCTTAGCTGATATGCTACAGCTTATATGCAATTGAAAGCAATAGTCTTCCTAATTTCTAAACTACAATAAATAAAACATGCTTTTAAAAACCCCAATAAAAATATAACAAATTCTTAATTTGTAATTAAAAAAAATCATTGGTTCTCAATTTAAAATGTATTAAATAAGTATATAGTTGAAAATCAACATCTTGTATGGATGAGTAACATATTAACTAGTTTATTTTAAATAAGTTGAGTTTGCACTTTTATATTTAGGGGATTATGGACCCATTTGTTAGTAGTGCCTATGTATATGCCTGGGTTATGAAGGTAATTCCTATGACATAAACTTTATATTATTTGAACATTTTACAATGAGCACTTCTGAATTTTGTAATTAGATAAAAATACTAAAGATACAACAGAAAAGATCAATTTAATTGTTACATAATAGAATTTCTGGTCAATTCAATTATCACTTACATCAAGCCATCTATCCACAATAATATTAGCCTCTTTCTCAAAAGGAGGTTCTTCAAAGGTTCTCATTTTATTTAGATGAAATTGTAGATTTTTGCAGATCTGGTTAATCTTGTCTACAACTTCTAAATGTTCATTAAATTCTTCTTTGACAATTTCAATCTAAAAAAGATGAAATATGTTTTGATATATTGACATACACAAACTGATAAAAATTACAATTCTATCACTGGTTTTTATTGTCCCACTTTCTCAGTGAAAAGTATCTAGAATCCTAACCATCTGGTTTAATAATAATTCTATACCAAATTTTCTTCCCACTCTGCATGATGAAATATGGTCTAAAACCATGTTTCTTATCCACATGAAATAATGTTTTACAAAAAAATCCCCTCCAATTCAATGGTATAAAAATCAAAGTTCCTAGATTCTACCAAAAGGAATTATCTTTATAATGCTGAAAAAAATAAGTGCTAATCTGAATAAAACAGACAGAATCTAAAACATCTTTAATATGACTTCTGTTTTAATCTTACATGATTCCAACGCCACCATCATTTCTAATACGGAAAGTGAAACACTATTTTATGAAAAGCCCAATGATCTTAGACTATAACAAGAAATTTTAGTATTGACTAATGTAATCTTAATGTTTTATTCAATTTACAAATCTTACAAAAACTTGTTAAATAATTACATAAAATCTGAAAACAATTTCTCAAAAGCAAAAATCTAAAAATTATACCACCTCTGGGGGACTTCTATTCCAAAGAATATGGAGTAAACATACTTTTCCCTATTCTTCCCACTAAGTACAACTAAAAACCCTGCACGCCATACACAAAACAAACTTAAGAAGATTGAAAAGTAGAATTCAAGAAAGGAAAATGACACATTGTGTGTGTGTGTGTGTGTGTGTGTGTGTGTGCGTGCGCGCACGCACGCGCGTGCGCCTTATTGCTAAATTGTATGCCTGAAACTTACTGGATTTTGTTAACTGATGTTGCCATAATAAAATTAATTAATTAATTTGAAAAAGAAAAAGAAAGGAAAATGGCTGGGGGCACAGCTCCTGAAGAACAACCTACTGGCGAGCTCCCTGTATTTTGTTTTCCCTCTGATATTCCAGACTGTGTGCTGGAGAAGCCAGTACCTGGTAAAATCACAGACAAAAAAAAAGCCCCAAGAAAAGCCTGCTCTCTTTAGCCAAAGAACCAGGAATAAGACAACCTAGCAAGACAGAAAACTTTGAAAAAAATAATTGCTTACAGGAAACAAATGCCACAGAAAAAACAGTGCCCGGCCTCCACCATGAGAGCAAAGGTTCAGTGTACAGCCTTGACTTGCGCCATCACCAACCCGTAACAGGAGCCCCACCTTCATTCAACCAGGGTGGTGTCAGAAAAGGAAAAACAGAGAGCCAGGACTTTCACTCCTCCTGGGCAGTAACAAAGCATCCCCCGCTGTGATGTCAGTAGAGGCCACACAGGGTAAGCAAGAGCCAGGGAGATATTAGGGGAGGCCTAGTGGGAGCTGGAACTCTCACCCTAACCAGCAATAACAAGGAGCCCCCCTATCTCCGGTGTCAAGAAATTATCCTTGACATGATTACCCATAAAGGTGATCCCAAGGAATCTACAAAAATATTCCTAGAACTGATAAGTAGGTTCAGAAAGGTCAGAGAATACAAAACAAACAAACATATAAAACATATAACAATCAATTAGCAATGAATACATGAACAGTGAAATTTAAAATATAATACCATTTTTAGTTACTCAAAAAATTACTACTTAGGTATAAATCTAACAAAACATGAATAGAATTTGTATGCTGAAAACTACAAAATGTTGATGAAAGAAATCAAAAAAGGTCTAAATAAATGCAGAGACATATCAAATTCATGGTTTTGGGGACTCAACATAGAAAAGATGTCAATTCTCTTAAAATCGACATATAGGCTTAATGTAATTACTATCAAATCCCTGTAATACTATGCTATAGATATAAAAAAGATTATTCCAGGGTTGGTGGGATGAGTGAAGGGGGAGGGGATTAAGAAGTACAAATTAGTTACAAAAATAGTCATGGGGATGTAAAGCACAGCATAGGGAATATAGTCAATAATACTGTAATAACTATATACGGTATCAGATGAGTACTAGATTTATCAGGGGATTACTGTGTAAGTTACACAAATGACTAATCACTATGTTGTACATCTGAAGCTAATATAATACTGTATGTAAAATGCAATTAAAAGGTAAAAAATTATTTAAAAAATAAAATTAGCTAGAAGGAAAAAGAAATATTTATATGGAATGGTAAAGGAACTAGAATAGCTAAAATATTTGAAAAACATAGTAAAGTGGGAAAAATCAGTCTACTTGTTTTTAAAGCCTATCATATACAGTAATAAAGTTTATGGGGTAATGGGAGCGAAACAGACACACAGATCAATGGAAGAGAATAGTGAACCCAGAAATAGACCCACACAAAGATGCCCAACTCATTTTTGACAAAGGTACAAAAGAAATTCAACAGAGGAAATAGTCTTTTCAACATACAATGCTGGAGCTACTGGACATCTCTAGACAAAAACATGAACTTTAACCTAAGTCTCACACATTATACAGAAACAAATGGATGATGGACTCAAACGTCAACCTAATACTTTAAACTCATAGAAAAAAGTAGAAGAAAATATTTAGGATCTTGAGCTGGGCAAATAATTCTTATACTTTGACACCAAATGCAGAAACCAAGAAAGGAAAAATTGACAAACTGGATTTTATCAAAATTTAAAAATTTAGCTCTAAAAAAGACCCTGTTAAAAGGATGAAAAGACAAGCTATAGTTTGGAAGAAAATTTTTGCAAACCACATTATCTGGCAAATAACTAGTATCTAGAATATATAAAGAACTCTCAACAGTTTAAAAAAAAAATCAATCGATTTAATTAGAAAATGGGCAAAAGATAGAGATATTTCACCAAAGATGACATACAGATGACAAACACACACAAGAAAAGATGATCCATATCATTAGCAATCAGTGAAATGCAAACTAAAGCCACAATGTGATACCACTACATACCTATCAGAATGACTAAAATAAAAAACAGACAATATCTAATTCTGGAAAGGATGTGGAGAAACTAGATCACTCATATATTGCTGGTGGGAATATAAAATGATGCGGCCACTCTGGAAAACAGCTTGGCAGTTTCTTTAAAAACTAAACCCATGATTAACATAGAACCCAGCAACTGTACTCTGGGGTATTTTTTTCCCTGAGATATAAAAACTATGTTCACAAAAACCCCTTACGTGAATGTTTATAGCAACTTTATTCCTAATAGCCAAAAACTAAAGATGACCTTTGATGGGTAAACAGTTAAATAAGCCATTGTAGATCCACACCATGGAATACTACTCAGCAAAAAAAAAAAGAAGGGGGGCAAATCATCAATACATTTAAGAACCTGAGTCTTTAGAGAATTATACTGAGTGCAAGTAGGCAATCCCAAAAGGTTACATACTATATGACTTCATTTATGTAAGATTTTTGAAATGATAAAATTACAGAAATGGAGAACATATTAGTGGTTGGGAAGGGGTGGGGACTGGAGAGAAGTGGGTAGGACTATAAAATGACAACATGAAGAACCCCTGTGGTGACAGAAATGCTCTTTATCTTGACTGTCAATGTCAGAACCCTGACTGTAACACTGGAGTATAGTTTTATAAGATTATACCATTGGCGAAACCCAGTAAAGGGTATATAAGATCTCTCTGTAGTATTTCCTACAACTCCGTATGACTCTACAATTATCTCGAAATAAAAAGTTTAATTAAGAAAATAAAAATTAAACAAATTTTTTTAAATAAAAAAATTACTGGGGAGGTTTCTGTCTCTAAACTGGACACTGACTGATACACTAGGAAAGCTGAGATGCAAATCCAGGTGTATTTTTCTCCTAGTTCAGAACTCTTTGCATTTGGGCATAATAAATGTTCAAATAAATGGAAATCTATATACATTCACATTTTATACATTTACATATTTTATTATTCTCTGATATATATATATTCTCAATACGTTCAGAAAACATTGTTGTTACACTGACACAAGCTACCAGTGGGTGAAGAGAAAAGAAAGAGCAGGAGAGGGTCCTTTTAGCATTGACAGAAATTGCAGGTTTTGTTCTAAAATGAATGGAAGGAGTGAAATAAAGGAAACTAGGACCCTCTGACATTTCCCAAACTTTAATAGTCCCCTGACAGTCTCGCCTTCTAGTCTTACCTTTGCACTCTGTCTTTCATTAAAGGGAGTGGAAATTTGGCACCATATCCTAGATAAACATCCAGGTTTCTATGGTTTTGAAGGACAAAAGTTCTCAGTGGTATCATATTTCAGCCACTGGTGGAAAGCATTATGACAATATGTACTATAGAAATTAATTGTTTCTGAAGACAGTACCTAAGTCATCACAAAATTAACTGAAAGTTATGTTAACAATCAGTAGTGCAAAAATTTGCTTTTTCCCTGACAGTTAAAAGTGTCTGAGAAAAGAATTAAACACCAGTATTCTAGAACTTCTATATCTTCTATACAGATATATTATTTCGGCAAACATATAAAGTGCCCATATGCAGACACCAAACTAGGTACAAGATTTTCAAAATTTTTAAAAAGCCTGTACTTTTAAACATTTCTTAAGGGTAATTACAGTTATTTTATTAATTTAAAAATAAAAGACCCTTTTGTGAGCAAACTTTTACAGGTGAGAAAGAGGTACAGATGAAACAAAGTTTGCCATATACATATTTCAAATATGTTGTCAGGGAAGGCAATATTATGATTGAAATATAACTTTGTAGTCAAATAGACCTGGGCTTAAATAACGATCTTGCCATTTATTAATTACTCGTATAATCTTGGGGAAGTTACTTAATGTCTATCCCCATTTTTTTTCCTTTTTTTTTAATTAACAGAGAAAGTTATTAATCGGACAGTCCAAATTCCAAGACATAGTGAGCAGGATCAGCGTGCATGAAAAATTCAACACATAGATACAGTTATTTTTTTCTGCTTTGTGTTGCTTCCTTATTAGTGCTGGGTAAGATGAATTACTGCTCTTTGAGACTGGCATTATGCACCTCTCTTCACTAAAGAACCCAGCTAAAGAACCCAGGTCACTGCATCAATATCTGAGCTACTCTGTGCAGCCAACCAAATGGTGATAAGATTCTAAGATCTGAATTTGGATCTGCTCAAAATAAAAGCCTTGTAGACATGTAGGCTAGCTTATATGCTTGAACCCATTTTTTTTTTAACTCATTTTTTACCAGAACACTTGCTGGAGTAATCGGGCACTCATGCAGATAATAAAGTGGTATTATTTGGTCTTATTTTTTTACTATATGTCTCCCTTGACAAATCCCACAATAAATTGTGAAAACTGGCAAGGCAGGACTGGCAATTTTTTGTTCTTTTCATAATGCTATCTTAATAACAGTAAAACCTCTACAGTTCCTACACTTCCAAAGTTCTCTATGTCTTAGTTTTCTCACCAGTATAACAGGGCTAATAATACTTAGCATGTAGGGTTATTATGAGAATAAAATGATATAATAATATGTAAAGTACTTGGCACATAATGACCAAGCCATCAATGATGGACGTTATCATTATCATCATCATTTTTATCATTTTTATTATTTCTGGTAGTAGTAGTAGTATAACTTAAAACCACAAGCTCACATGGTAGTACTATTTATAGAGAAAACCAATTTTTCTGGTTGGAACCAGACAGGTTGCATCTGAGTAACTCCAATCAACTGTCTGCTCGAGGTCTTGATGGCCTCCCTCTATTAAGTCTCATAGGAAACTAGTCACACAGTCACATTTTGTACAACTGGTATCTAAACAGGGCTCTTTCTGACCAGTTTCAAGAAACTGAGTATGAGAAAGTGAGTTCCAGACAGGGGCTATTCTTCATCTGTGGCACCGGCCATGTGTCTATAACTTCCGCTTCAGGGACAAGAGTTCTAGATAAAGAATAAATTGTAAGAATCTAGTCTATGTAAGCTTCTACTGATGTTGATATTAGCAACTGGGAAGTTTAACAAAATTGCTTTCTAACAACCAGATGAATCAAATAGACTGTATTTCACACATGCTTTTGACATTCCAACAGCACTTTAGCATAATATTCATAAAACCAATAGGGAAAGCAACTTTCTGGTATATAATAACATAGTGTAGTGTAGTATATATATTCTTTTCAAACTTCTGCCACTCCATTCTTCTGCCACTCTAGTTGATAACCACATAAAATCAAAGAAAACGATGACACCTAGTGTCCAAAAATGATATTCTTCTTAGAACATGAAGTGATTGGTGAGGCTATGAACACAGATGGAGCAACTTGGAGATCAGCTTACACGACTTTATAGAAAGAGAATACGTAAAAACGTAATTTTTCCTTTGTTCACTAACAACAGAGGGGACTTTCCTACTATGCTCATTCTCTCAGGACTGCAATGAAGTCTTAGGTTTCCTTTAGGTAGAAGGTCAGTACGAGGATTGTTACAACCTTACAGGGCAACCCCAGACTCCAAGAGAACCGCACCGTCAGTATCAAAGCCCAAGCAGAAACTAACCTCCTAAACTAATCAACTTGGGGGATGACTTTTTTCCAAGCTCTAGTAATACATTCAATAAATTCTTAAATATTCTTAGATATCTGGTAAAATAAAGTCACTAGTAACTTCTTTTAAACCAAGTTTCAAAATGACTCCATTTACAACGTCCTCTTTATAGTCAGGTTCGTGGGTGAGGCCACTGTGCAGAGAGTTTCCTTTGGAACCTAGACTCACCTCTGCTATCCTTTTCTTCAGGTTCTCCTTTCCCATGTACGAAGACTGAAGGGAGATGACATTCTCTTCTTTTTGAATCAAAGTTGTCAAGACACTTTTAAAATTCTGGTATTGTTTTAGGAGCTCCAAAACTCTTTCACATTGGTCAAGGCTATGAAGAGAAAAAATGCAAAACAGCTAAACGTCTGAAAATAACAAAACCGTTCTTTCTAAGTATCCTACAATAATGACTAATAACTTGCAGAAGAAATTTTCCTCTTGACGTGGTTTATAAGAGAAAACAATTTAACCTAAGAATAAGTGTACATGTATTTATCTGGCAAGTGGATGATACAAATAATCACTGGATTAGTATTTTCACCAGATCAATATTAAAAAGTCAGCAGACATACGATCTAAAAAGAAAAATAAGATTCATAACCTTAAGGAATCAGCATCGCAATCTTATCCTTAACCAAAAGGTATCTTGGAAAAGAGTGCCCTCCCTAGCATTGCTCTTGGAGATTATTTCAATATTAATTCAGTGAGTCACAGGTTGTTTATGTTTATTTAACTCATTCTAGGTTCTGTCCTTTTTAAAAAGTGCAATAGTACAGATAACATGGCAGTTAGGGCTGGGCACTAATCAGTCATGGGACCTTAGATAAGTTACTTGAGCCTTCAGAACCTCAATTCTTTCCTCTAAAATCGAAGGGCAGACTACATCGAAGACCACAGACAGGCTTTATCTTGACCACTATACACTGAGGAAACAGGAGGAATACTCAGATGGAATTCTGTAGTGAAAGAATCACTGACAGCAGAATTTAGGGAACTCGCCAGAGAGCTGAGGCAACCAGGGACAACAGCAGATCTGCCACTTGGCCTCAAGGGCAAAGAGGGAAAGTGCCCTGAGTCAAGAAGGACACCTGTAGGAGTTGCTGAACCACATGCTGAAAAAGGACGGGGATGGTTAAGACCACCTTGACCTCTCCCTCTTCTTGTCCTCTAATCTGCTGGTACCTCCCACTTCTTAACCCAACTGGAACCCTTCCCGACCACTCCCACCCCCAGGCAGAGAGTAAAAGGGAGAAGGCATGGATTCAGAATTGCTGGGATTGATAAGTAATGGCTGTCACACAGTTAAGAAAACTTTCGAGCCTTGCTCAGGCTCTGCAGGAAAGACGGTGGCAGCTGACAGGCAACATCTGCCATTCAAGTAGGGTTGTGCGGTAAAATAATGCCGCCAGCCCTCAGAGATGTCCATGTCCTAATCCCTGGATCCTGCAAATGTGTCACCATACATGGCAAAAGGGACTTTGCAGATGTGATTAAGTTAAGAGTCTTAACCTACAACATTATCTTAGATTATCCAAGTGGGTGAAATATAATCATAAGGATCTTTCTAGAAGGGAGGCAGGAAGGTCAGAGTGACAAGAGGAGAAGTGATGGAGAGCACAAGTGAGTGTGTGTTGGGGGCGTGGGGGGGATATTTTTCCTTACCATTCAGTGACCGAAGCTTTTGTGTTCTCCCACAAGAGTGCTGTATTTTGGCACTGTTGATTCAGAGCTTTTTCTCTGCCATCTTTGAATTGTGGAAGAGAATTAGCCATTTCTTGCAAGTGTTTCTTCTCTTCTTCATATTCATCTAGCTCCTTATCCAGTCTGATTAATGATTTTTTCCTTGATCATGAAAGAGAAATGTTCGATAGCCAATTATTAGCCAACTTGATTTGACACACATGTGAGTAACTGAGGGGAGCACACTAACTTAAATTTGTCCTCAGGAGGTTTAGGAAGACAAAAATTACACATTCCTATGACAGAGTTCAGGAGGCTCTCTGCATTTCCAGAAGACTAATCTGGTGTTTTCATTATAATAAATATACAAAGCCAGAAACAGTAACATTTTTTGTGTGTGATGAACACACTTGTAAAGGGTGTACATACGTATATGAGAGAAAAGAGAGAAAGAGTATGTGTGTGTATACGGGTGGGAAAGAGAGCCTAGTGTGGACAGAAGACAAGAGGTGGAGCAGAACGAGGCTCCTAAGCAAGGGGAAGGCGGGGGCAAGGGGAATCTCACATTTCTACCCTGTGTACAAAAAAAAGCTTTCCCACATCGATAAAAGTCACTGGAACTGAGGATTTTCATGTGCAAACTAATCCTGGTGGGATTAACTCCATTTGCCTCAGTCTAACTTGCTTTTATCATACACTATCTCTACTTCTCCCGACTTCTCTGGAATCCACTCCCATAAGGCTTTCTCTCTCTGTGTATCCTCCAAAACTGCTCCTCAAGACCTCCAGTAACCTCCACATTGCTAAACCCATGCTCGAGCCTCCTGCTCTAATCGGCAGCATCTGACACAGCTGCTTACATCCTGTTCCTTGAAAGGCCTTCTCACTTGGCCCCCAGGACTCTTGATTTTCCTTTTACTACACTGGCCACTCTTCAGAATCTTTGGCTGGTTCTCCGTCATCTCCTGGATCTCTGAACGTGGAGTGCCCCCAAGTATATAACGTGGACTCTTGTCTATTTTAACTCACTCTGCTGGCAATCTTACCCCTCTCATTCCCAAATGTTGCTAACTCTCACATGTACACTGGTAGCCTAGACCTCCCTCCCAACTCCTGATGCCATCTATCTGTAAGAGTCTTACTGATATTGCTACTTGACTGTCAAACTAAGTATATTGAATCTATCATTTCTAAAATTGAGCAGGCCTATCTTTCGTGCAATACCAGATAAACTTCAGCCTTTCTCGCTTCAGTTAATAGTACTCAGAAAAGTGAAATACTCAGTTCCTCTAAGCCCATCTTGTTCAAGCCTGCACTGTTCCCATGGCCTTCAGGCTAATAGCTTCTGCTTTTGTCTTACATATAGACACACTAATCATTAGAGAAATTCTGCTTGCTCCTTGAGTTTTACCAAAACCACCTCAACTCATTTTCCCTTCCCTTGACATAAAAGAAGTCTGAACTCTGTACTTTCTTAAGATGGATTTGAGAATTAGGTCTCCCATCTTCTTGGTTGGTGCCTCTTCAATTAAGACACTTTTTCTTACTCCAAACTCTGACATTTTCAGTTTTGGCCTTTCAAAGCACCAGTAACAGAAAGTCTAATCTTTCTTTTAAACCTTCGCCCAATGTGTCAACAAATCTTTGTAGACTCTACCTTCAAAATATACAGAGTCTTAACACTTTCACCACCTCACCACAGGTCCATACTACCATCATCCCTCACCTGGAATACTGAAATAGGTCAGACTAGACGTCCTGTGTCTTCTCTGGACTCCTACTGTCTACACCCAACACATCAGCCAGAAAGAACCTGTTACAATGAAAACCAAATCATTTCCCTCTGCTCAGGAACCTCCACTGACTTCCCAGTGCCACTCAAAGAAAAAGCCAAGGTAATCACATGGCCCGCAAGTCCGTTCATGAGCTAAGCCCTATTCTACTCATTGCCTCTCTGACCCCTTTACATACCTCTTCCCCTCACCACTGACCCTCTCACTTCCTAGTCCCTTCTCAAACATGCCAGGCCCGGTGCCACCCCGGGCCTTTGTCACTCCTCCTCCGGCCTGATAAGCTCTTCTTCCAAGTCGTCACTTGGCTAGCTCTCTCATCCCACCTTACTCAAAGGTCATCTTCTCAGTAAAATGTCCCTGATAACCCCATTTGAATCGCAACCCCCTCGTTTTTCTTGCTTAATTTTTCTCCATAGCTTTTATCATCATCAAACATACTAAACATCTTACTCCTCTCACTAAATAAGCTCCATGAGGAGCAAGAATTTTTGTCTATTTTGTTAACTGCTATATCTCCAGGACAGGCTACATACTTGGTATATCAATAACTAAATTAAAAATTAAAGCAACTTACTACTTAACAATGTATAGTTTTCACTTATAAATATTTATTACTTATTATTCATTAATCTACAATAAAAAAATTATTAACCATGACTGAATCACTACATCAGTAATTAGTTTAATACCTCATTAAGAACTAGGCACTGAGGAATGGAAGTCTCCTTAAGACTAAGGCCACAGGGAAATTTCAGAGGAAAGAGCTTGATCAGCTAAACAGATGCCAAGAAATTACTGAACCTGAGGGACGAGAAGTGGGCAGAGGAGACAGAAAGTGGGAGAGATTTAGAAAAGGAAGGAAAAGTGACTCTTGCTAACATTTTTGTTTTCAAGACCTAGAGGCCGACTTTGAATGCCAGAGTTAAAACAGCAGCACTCATACAGAAGGCTTACCAAACTCAGTTTACCCCAATTCTGCTCAGTCTCCAGAATCAACACTAACCTTAGCTTAGTTCAATCTTGTGTCCCCCGCAAAAACCCCCAATTCAGTCCCCACCCTAATCTTGTTGGGAGGAAGAGGAGGAATCAAATAATGAAGGAAGAAGTCGAGACAAAGTATGGCACGTGCATCTGCCACCACTTGTTTCTTTCTTATCAAATGTGTCGAGTTTTCCAGGTCTCCCCCATCAGGAGAATACCCTGATAAATACACGGCACTAAAGGGACTTGGAAGCAACTCATGTCCTTTATGCATATCTAATTTCACTACTCCTTTGTCAATGAGAATGAAAAGTTTAAAAAAAAAAAGAATTATGTAACATTTGGTAAAGGCACAATATCAACAAGAAAAAAGCTTATTTGAAAGGTCTAGAGAAAAGAATGCTGAACGCTGAATAGGGTGGGATGGGATAGAAATGGAAAGACACAGGAAGTATGTGTTTCACCTAGTAGGTATCTGAAAGTACAGAAAAGTGTCACCTTGGATGGAAATGGATGGAAACAATATTTACCGTTGTTTTACAGCTGGGACAGTCGGATCCTTAAGACCAATTTTACTGATCTGATTGTGCACATCTTGAATATTTTTCAAGAGTTCACTATTTTTGAAAATACAAGCCTCCAGTAATCTGTCTTCTTCAGTGAGTTCCTCCTGTCCGCCATAGCCGCGTGTCTCAAATAGGTTTTTGGATAAAGCATCGAGAAGTTTTTCACAGGAAGTATCTTCACCCTGTTCGGCATCTTTAAAGCTTATGTCAAGCATCTTCAAACGTTTATCCAAATGTCTGGCCTTATCTTTCATCAGATAAATTTCTCCCTCGTTATATTTTACAGTCAAAGTATTTTCTGGTACCACCTGTGAACCTGAGGCTGAAAGGTCTGTAACAAGCTCAACGGAGAGTTCGGCTGCTCTCAGAGAAGCCAAAAAATCTTCCAGGGCCCTGAGCGCATCTTTACTCCTCTGGACCCTGTGGTTCATCTCTTCGAGTTGTCCTCTGTGTTGTAGTATAATGTTCTGTGTTGCATGTAGTTCAAGTGGGTGTAATTCCTTTAATGCAAAGTTGCCCGACTGCTCCAAATTGTTACAGATTTCGATCTGTTTTGCTATGGAATCTTGGATATCCTAAAATAAAGGTAAGAAAAGCTGAAAAGACTGAGGCAGACAAACGAAAGACTGCACGTCAGAAACTAACCTCAAATTATGTAACTAGACTTAAATCTAGAAAACCGCTTCTCAGTTTAACCGGGGCTGCCAGTTTTAACAGAAGGAAACATTTTGATGACAAATGATCAGATGGCCTAACTGTTTTATTATCTGATACCCTTCCTGATGTTTCAATCTCCAAAAGAAAACAAGTATATAAATCTATTGCTTCAGTGAAAATAATTAAAGATTGAACTGTTGAGACATCTGTTTATAATCTGAAAAAACTTATTTATTAAAAATAGGATTTGGAATAAGTAATCTGTGGAATATTCTAACATAGGTAAATGAGTCTAGTATGATATTTAAGATTTCAGTCATTGGAAAAGGCATTTATAAGAAACCCTTCATTTCTAATTCAAGGAAAATACTTCATTACTTATTCCACGGTATCTACTTCCAAATTTGAAAGGAATTAAAGAGTTGAGAAATAAATAACAAGTCTACTAAATTATTGAAGATTTTTCTGTCATGGCTTGTATTCTAAATATATACTCTTGATGTATAATTAAAAATGCATAAATATCTGAATCAATTATTCTATAAATATACTGTGAGAATTTATATTTACCCTCAGGTTTTGGTAAATGCCATCAGCATCAGTGAGATGAAATTCCTGAACAGCTACTTCATGGAGAAGAAGCAGGTCTGAGCCACAGAGAAGAAGCGATTCCTTCTCCACAGGTAACACAATCTGCAATGCGGCCTCTAAAGACTCCATTCTGGATGAAAAATAAACCAGACATGAGGGGAAAGAAAACAAAGCAAAACAATATCCTATGAAACATATTAAGGTCATTACTTAACCAAGAACAGAAAATAACTGTCCAATAAATATACATGCAATGATATGTACAGATCACCACTTTAAAACCCAAACCCAACAATCCAAAATGCCAAAGAATGAGTTGTTTGCTATAGCCAAATATTCTTAATAATTTAATAGATAACACACTGAATGGAAAATGGTAAACTATACTAAGCCTTTCCCTCTGTTTCAAAATACAATTACTGAATATAATTTAACTTTGCCTTGATGACAAAGAAACCTCATTATGAATACTAATTATTTTATTTGTAGAAATATAACAGAGTTCCAAGAATAGGCTCTACAATAATAAATTGAAATGTGTGACTCTGGATAATTAACATGTAGACTCTGAGCCTCAGTTTCCTCCTATACAAAATGGGGATGCACATCCAATGTATAGGAGTAATAACAGCACTCTCATTTTAGAAATAAAGAAATCAAGGCCCAGAGACTTTATGTGACATAGCCAAATTCACACTCAAGGGGAGAGAGCTAGAACTTCAACAGACTTGAAGTTCTAGCTAAGCCTCTGGCCAGTGGTGTGGCTTGGTTGGGTTATTTAACCTCCCTATCAGTTTGCTCATCAGTAAAATGGCAATCATAATGGTAGCCTCTCTTACTGTTGTGACAACTAAATAAAGAAACATAGCTGATATTGCTTAAAATGGCATTTAAAAAATTTAGTAAATTCATTATTAATAGATCTCAGAACCATACCTGTTATTAAGAGTCATCTGAAACTCGCTCTCTTTTTCCTTTAGTCTGTCTCTTACTTTAATTATAAAAGGCTTCTTTATGTCACTCTCAAGCTCTTCTAACCTCAGTGACGTGATTTCGAACTCTTTCCAGCAAGCATCAGTTTCATTTTTTAAGACCTAGATGAAACAAATAAATTAACAACTAATGGGTTAATAGACACAATTATTCTGTTCGTACAAAATGAGACATCCACCAACTGTGGGCACAAAGTTTCACATGAAAATACCTTTTAAAAATATTTTCTAACCATTTACAAATGAAGTATCCTTCAGGGAACAATGATATTAACTGCGCTGTCCGGGGATCCATTTAATGAAGTCAAGGGAGTCGAACAACGTGGCTTTCAATGGAACCCTAACTCCCTTCCCCTAAGTTAGGTAGGTGCACAGAGTACGATTCAGAAAGACACATACAGAAGTAAGAAGAGATATTCTATTTCCTCTAGATAATAAATCTTTCTTTCTCCCTAAAATAAAAGAAATTTGGAGTTAACCAAAATTACTTCTATCAAATGAGAAGTGAATAAAGTTAATTTATGATTTATATTTAAACACCTAAAAATTCTACACCATTTCAGCTACTTATCTTAGTTCTTTAAAAAAAACAAAAACAAAAACGCTACTACGAAATTTTACTGCACGCTCACTAGTATAATTTGTTCTTCACTTTCCCCAAGGATTAGTATAGCTTTTCTAACCAACTCATTATTCAGTCCCTGGAGCAAGGTCATGCGACAATTTCTTAATTGCGTTGAAGACATGCCAAATGCACTACTTGAACAATAGATATTATAACTTATGAATTTTGTTTATGCAAAGGGAAAATAAAGAAGAGCCAGACAGTAGAGTATGACTCAGGAACTGGCATCATGAAAGGAAGACGGAAACTAGAAAACATGGGAGGGTACTGCAGGAACCACCCATGGCCCTTTCTCTACCTGATGGGTTTTCTGTGAATGCTCACTCAAGTGTACTTCCAAGCATGCAACAAATGCTGCAATGCACAGATCATCTTCAAAATAAGGAAGGTATTTATTTGCAGAGTTTATAATTGATGTGCCCCATCAGTAGACAGTTTTTCTATAGCTCCTGAATCAAATGCAATACTTCTTCTGATGGCTCTCCAGGAAGATCAGCGCTTAAGAGTGAAAACTCTCTCCACTGCCTGCCCCTTTCCTTATTGCCCAACATCAGATAGACACTGTGACAATTTGGTTAAGATGATGAACAACTGAAACAAATATGTAGGGTTTTCATGTATTATTAATTTTAGAGCAACACAGAAGCAGTGTTGGTTGAAACTGCCTCCAAACACATTGTTTTCACCGACTCATCTAAATTCTCATTCCCATCCCAAGAATAATCCAACATTTTGCAAACCACAGTATCTAGAGTATCAAATTGAGCATAAGCAATAAATTAAGACCCTGAACCAAAGTCTTTCCTGGGTTTGGTGCTTGGATGCAAATCACTTTCTGGAATTGGGTGACATTAGAAATGCAATCCAACAAAGTGAGTTCTTGTTTTTGACCGCAGCAAAAATGGTGAAACCTAAACTCATGGTGGTATTATTTTCTAATAAAAGATAAACTTCTCTAATAATATTTTTAATAATTACCTGTAGATCTGTCAGTTTTTCCTGCAGACAAGCACTACTTCTTTCCTTGTCACTTGGGAAATCAGCAGTAATTCTGAATTTGTTGTTTTGCAGGTGTAGTTCAAGAGTTTCTCTGTGTATTTCATACCTGGGAAAAATTAACTAACATTACTAAATTTAAAAAATATAACAGAAATTTTTTTAATTCCTGTCGATCATGCATGAGGAAACCCCAGGGAATTTCTGTTTAAGTTACTAGACCACATGTAAAAATTGACTAAAAGGCAATAAAAACTTATTAAAGTATAACATGTTTCATCGATGAAAGATATTTGGAGGACTTTTCAGTTGTTTAAAGAGTTTACCTCTTATTATGCTGAGCGAAGAAAGATAAATACCATATGATATCACTTATATGTAGAATCTAAGAAACAAAAGGAACGAACTAATCCAAAACAGACTTACAAATACAGAGGACAATGTGATGACGGCCAGATGGGAGGGAGGTTGTGGGGCTGGGAGAAAGGTGTGAAGGGTTAAAGAAGTACAAATTAGTAGTTAAGAGATGGTCACCGGGATGGGGATCACGGCATAGGGAATGCAGTCGGTGGTAATGTAATGGCCATACGTAGAGCCAGAGGGGCGATAGAGTAATTGGGTGATCGTTTCATAAACTATATAAATGTCTAACCAATGTACTATACATTCAAAACTAATAAAATGCGTATAAAAAAAAGTGTTTACCTCTCTAGTAAACTATTCATAGATGCATTGTGATCCTTTTCAAACTTCTCCGTATTTTCTTCCTGTTGAGGCTTTAACTCTGATTCCAGACTCAATTTTTTAATCGACTCCATTGCCTAAGTAAATATGCAAATAATAAACACAGAATATTCAATATACTTATCTAGAAAAGATAAACATTTTATGATGCAAAGGCATATCACCGATTCTTTATAACCCAAACCAGGAGATAATATAATTTGAGGTTTCTCAGCTCAGAGAAAGGTCTTTCCATAGGACAGAAGAGATTATTATTAGACTGAGTCTCATTTTCTAATTAGTAAGTCAGCATAGTGAGTTCTCCCAACCCCTAAATGCTCTTTCTTCTTGTGACCACATAGCCACAGCCACAAGCAGACAGAAATCCAGCATGCAGGAGCAGACTTCTGAGAACAAATATACCTCGTTCCTTCTCCACACCTTCTGACTGACTATCTGGGCTGTGAAATACAGTAAATGCCCACTTACCTAGAATTCTAAATGAAAATTTAATTCTCAAGGAAAGTAAAAGAAATTACAATGAGAAAAAGACAAATAATAAATGAACTAATTCAATTCAGTGATGCTGAGGCATCTGTACAGATTAAACTTAGCCTCTTCTATTACTTCAATAGTAATGTGCACAGTCAACATGCATTTATAATGGTTCAAATAGTCTCTTTTTGAAAGAACTGTTTGTATCCTCAGCATAAGATTGTTATGCTTGCTATAGCTTTGGTTCATTCTAATTCTCTGAAAAGCGACCTTCCTTGCATTATTTAGGTAGGAATTCTCAGCTGATGAAAACAAGCAAATAATTAAAACCAACACTTAATGAGAAGTGATTATTGTACACTTGGCCTTTTTCATTAGGTTTATTTCTAAAATATGTTATCCACTTTTGACACCTTTTCAGTTGATGGCTGATTATCTGATCTTGCAGATGGCGCCTCACTGTGGGCATTCCTCCCTCCATTCTCAGATGTGTTCACGGACCCCCTAGGAAGAAATGAAAATTGCATATTGAAATAGAGGGAAAACATGAAGCCTAAAGAAGAATGAATAATAAATAATACTCAATGGTATTTGATTTTGCAAGAGGCTTTATCTCATTTTTTTCCCTGATGCAAAGCTATTCTTATGAAGCACTAACTTGTTTTTCGACGTGCCTCCCGTGGGCTGCAGTGCCATGTGAATCTCAGAAGCACATTTCCGAAGTCTTTCTATCTTTTGTTCATAATCCCTGAGCACTCTCCTCACTTCCTGTTGACTCTTCTGCGAAGTCAGCTCTTCACACAGCTCCCGCAGGACAACCATGTGGTGATCAAGCTGGTATAGACTGCCTTCCTCAGAAAAGCAGGCCTAATTGAGGAAATAAAGCAGGAAATGTTTTTCAAATGGGTTTACATGATTAGTCCATGAGGATTAGAAACCAACAGATGTGCGTGGCTTTAACAACATGATCCTTCATAGGCCTGTCCACGGTGTGCCTGCTGTGGTAGCATAGCAGTTACTGGAAAAATAAAGATGAGGCTGTCAGGCCTAAAGGGAATCACCGCAGTCTAGTAATGTAGTGAAGGACACCAAAGTATGTCACCCCAAAATATGCCTCTTTGACAAGATTATTTTGGGCTGAAGGCAATTAAGAAGCAGTAAATACAGGAAAAACTCCTCCTTTTCTGCCTAAAGACAGGAAATAAAGTCTCCCTTTACTGGAAACAGATTCTCATCAGCCCACATAACAGGGGCCAGAGGAATCTGCAAACAAATGTTAAACTAACCCTTATCCTATTAGTTACTTCTTCACCATTCACTAGCCCCTAGCCCAAATCCCTTTGTCTTGTCAGTTCTTCTCAAATGTATACCTTTGTCTAAAAGGTATACCTTTGTCTAAAAGGTATAAAAGACTCCTACTCTTGTCACTTCTTTGGATCTTCAATCTTTTGTAAAGGCTCCTGTGGTACATGTAAAAAATTCGATAACATGTATATGCTTTTCTCTTGGTAATCTCTGTCAGTTTAATTTTCGGAACCAGCCAGGGACCCTAAAAGTTCTCAAGGAGAACTTTTTCCTCCCCTAGAGCAGTCACACACATAATGAGCTCACAGTGCGACGAGTGTTAAGACAGAGACACTACCCGCCTTTTCTGTCTGTTAAGACAGAGAAAACCTATTCCACATGAGGAAACCAGCTGAGCTCGATGCAGAAAGGCATAGGAGTCTTCCAGACAAAAGATGAGAGAGGGCATTCCTAGCAGAAGCGGCAGCCAAAAGAAAAGCTCCAGATGTTCAGAAAGGACAAGTAGCCTCGTACGGCTGGAAGGCGCAACACAGAGAAAGAGATGCTGAAGGCATATCCTGAGGCCAGAGAATGAAGGACTTGCATGGCCTCCTAAGGAGTCTAGAGACGTCCTGGTTGTCAGGTAAGTCAGTGGCATAAGGTTTGTGGTTCAAAGGGGCAGCTCTGGTGATGCGTTTGGAACATGATGTAACCTTCATCGTGCTGAGAATATAACCTGGGCTGAGGGAAGTGGCAACTCGGATGGAAAAGAAGAAAAAGCAGCAGTTGTTCTGAAGTGTAACAGATGAGACCTGGGACCTAACTCCATTAAGGCTAAGTGGGAAGGAAAAGAAGATGCAAAGGGAGTTCTGAGATGACAAAGTCTTTCATAACCAGGATGTGTAAAAGGAAGGAACATTTGAGGAGAGAGATTATTGGTTCGTTTTTTGAACATGCTGAATGTGACGTCTCTGAAGAACACTGGTGATATCTCAGTTAGAAACAGAGGAAAGCTCAGAGGAAACGGCTCAGCTGGAGATAAAGATTTAGGGCCATCACTGTAGAGAGGGCAGCTAAAACCCCAGAGTGCAGAAAATGGCCTAGAGCAAGGACGAAATTAGCCAAAAACAGACCCCCCAAACTAAAACATTAAGATAACACAATTAAAAAGGGGTATTTGTGAAGTACACTATAAAGAAGCATCCCCTCCCCACCGAAAAATAAGAAAAAACAAGGAAGATTGACACTAGGAGAGCCACAGCAAAAAAAAGTTTAAAGGAAGTGAAAAGAGGGGTCAGTACCGTCTAAAACACAGAAGCGTTCAAATAGGATGAGGGTCAAAAGGAGATCATTAGGTCTGCCCCAGTTGGTTTACACCCTGATTTGATATCTTTCACAAAAGCTGTGCTTCTGAGGACACTGTGTCCTCACTAAAAGCAACTGTGGGTGCTTCAGCAACAGGTGACATGTTTGTAACCAGTCTCAAGGACAGGGCCACTGAAACATATCAGAAAAGTCATGAAATATTAACTCGATGCTGAATTTTTTCTCACTTCTAAAAAGCAAGAAGCACAGGCTCTAGTTACAACTCAAACTGTATATGAGATAAATCCCAGAGGACCTAACGGCTGACGTAATTTTCAGAGCAGATTTAATCCTAAGTAAAAGATATACACAACCCTTTAAGAAAAACCACAAAATGTAAATAGAAACAGGTGGTTTACCTCATGTTCCTTGATGAGACCCTTGGTCTTTCCTCTGCGAATTAGTTTCTTCTCTTTATTTATTTGTTTTTCGAGTCTTGAAATACTGTCACTAAGTTTTCCTTTTTCAATGTCTATTTTTAGTTGTTGAATATACAAAGACATTTCATGTTGAAGAGACTGCAAACAAAGGCACATATTAACCATGGGAACAGAATGTATTAAAAAGGTTTTCATTAAAAACATAATAAAAAATACTTGTAGTGACAAAGGAGAGAAACAGAGCTTATGAAATTCTGATTCATCTTTGTGTCTTTGGGGAGGATGTTTAAATGTATACCAGATCCATAAACATATTTTTTTTCTTTCTAACAACTAAAAATGTGTTTTAGCTGGGAAAGACACTGTTAAGAGAATTAAAAGACAAGCTGCAGACTGGGAGAAAACATATATAAAATACACATCTGAGCCTATGCAGAAATAACAAGTTACTATAATGTATAATCTGGATGAGATTATGAAACATAAAAAAGAACACTGAGAGAAAACTGGAAATATGAATAAAGGATAAATTTAGTTAATGATGTATCAAGATTAGTCCATTAGTTGTGACAAAGATACTACATTAATGTAAGATGTTAATAATAGGAAAAACTGGGCATGGAATAAAATGGAACTCTTTCTACTATCTCTGGAATAACTGTAATAATTGTACTATCTCTGTAAATCTAAAATTGCTCTAAAATACTTTATTTCAAAATGTGTTTTAAGAAGACCTTTATGAGAACATATTCAATTATATTACTTTATTCTCTCCATATATTCATACACACACACATAGTAAATACTAAATACCATTTACTGAACACAATCTCTGTGGTGGGTACTTTATATAAATCCTTACAGCAATCCTGCCAAGTCAGTGGAATTATTCCCATTTTATCAGTGAAGCTCCTAGAGGTTAGCAACTTGCCAGGGTCACAGCTGCTGGATCCAGGTCTGCCTACCTGCCACCAAAGCCTATACCTATGAAACTCTGGGTATATGTGTCCATATGTGGCAATGTGTTATCTTAGTCAGGATCCAATCAGAAAATGAGAAAACACTAACTATTTAACACAGAGAGAATTATATGCAAGGAACTGATTACACAAGAGATGAAGGCCAAAGAGGGGACAGTAAGGCAATCCAGAGATCAGTAGCAGCACAAAGTTCCTACCACTACTGGGCTGGAAACTTCAGTGGAGCCCAGGCAGAAAGGTCAACCACCAGAGTCTGGAATTATGGAACCTGCAGCCAGGGGGAGACACAGCTGCCAGAGACACTGTCTGAGAGAGAGGAAAAGAAAGCCTCTGGACTCTCCCTTTTCCCTACCTCCATGCAGCCCTCTAATCTCTAGTGTCGTCACTGGTTGAACACAGACAGAAGGCAAGTGCTGCAGGAGCTGAGACGCACAACCTCCAGGGATCAGCCCTCTGTGATACAGAGTGGACAGGGGCACCACCAAAAATGACTGACGCCAAACAGCTCCAGGGTCAGAGTCAAAAGCTTAAGCCCCGTACAAATGCGTGTTCTTACCTCCCACTTAGCACAGACATCTCTACTCTTTTCTTCCAAAGACAGTTTTACATTCTCAGTTACATTCTTTTTCAGTTCTTCAACAGCTTTCAAATACTTGGCCAGACTTTTAGAATTAAAAATTAATAGGGCTTCCTAAAAAAAACAAAAAACAAACAAACAAAAACATGCAAATGAGACCATGAAAGCCTCATTCTATTGCCAAGTCCTCAAAGCTAATTTTGGTAGGTCTTTCACAGATAGAACCAGGAAAAGGACTCTATGAAGACTATTTAAAGATTTAAGGGAGACTTCTCTTCATAAAGTGGGGTTGATATTCCATTTGCATGCCTGAATTCCTTTGAAAAAAGTTGCTAAATATTTCTTATTGAAATGTAGTAACACATTTGAGACCCAGATAAAGACTTCTTTATGATAATGATTTTTGTTGCCCCTTTGAAAAATAATTAAAAGGCTTGTTGTGCAGAGTAATGAGCCACTGGCAAAGTTTCCTATAAAATTCTTAAGTATTGAGCAGGCAATCCACTGTATAAGCAACACAATATGAAGGGTATACCAGTGTGTATTAGAGATTAGTGTTACAATGAGACAATTTATAGTAGTGTTGATATGGCAAATATTTAATATTATACATAAGCATTTTATGTATAATATTAAATATTATACATATTAATACATATTAATATTAAAAGCAACAATATCTTTCCATGGACTAACCACATTGGTAGTCCCATCCCACAGAAAGAGGGGCAGTGATTAGGGATGGGGACTGCCTCGCCAGGAACGTGTCTGCTCCTTACTTCACACTTACTCGCTCTTATAGAGTATTACCTGGCAATAATACTCTAAGAGCAGAAACCTGGCTTAGGTAATTGGAGAATGACAGAAGAAAAAATAGCGTGGGCCTTGTGAAAGAGGCAGAAAATCTGTAGGAGATGAGAAGACAAAAGTAATTGTAGGGGAGAAGGCAATTAAGAAGGGTGGGAATTCATCCACACACTCATTACATTATTTATTATGGGCCTAGCACAGAAAAGGTACAATGCTGAGCCCCAGAGACCTCCTCGAAGGCCTCCTGCTGCATTTATGACCTAGGGAAATATTCTAACCCTATATGCTAGCAGGGGGCTCCTATGACCCCTGTCCTGGGAGACCCAGGGGTCTCAGGGAAGTACTTGGCAGGGTATGGACCTTGCATCTACTTCACTAAATGCCAGGCACAAAGGGAGTAAATCCCTAGCCTCAGATTCCAAAAGGAAGGTGGTCGGTGAAGGAAAACGGTGTGAAAACCGACTGACTCTTCTAAGTCTTCTCTCCGGAAGAGAAGAGGTCTGGAGCATCTACTTTTTCTTTTTCCTTCTCTCCTTGAAATGACGAAATCTATTCCCTGGAAATCCAACCTAGGATTATTTAAAAGAACCAGAGATTCTTAAGGTCAGTTCAGCACTCACAGTAATCTGAGAGTAAAAGTAGAGGGAAAAAAGACAGGGAATTGGTCAAAGTTGGTGGCTAGCAAAGTACAACCGGCATAAGATAGCTGTGGGAAAAGCAATGTTGAAATGGCTGATACTAAGGTTCAGTATGGCTATCAATCCTGAGAGCCAAAATAGGGTTGAGGCCCAGAAAAGAGAAGGAGGCCACATGAGGACGGAGAGGCTGTTACGGGAGGGTCTGCTCCTGAGACTGGACGCAGTGGCACTGGACATATTGCTTTACTTCATCTCTACCTCCCACAAAATGCCTAACTCATTTTAAACATTCGAGAAGGGTGTTAACTACTGAATAAATGAACATAGGAAAGAACACGTATTACCCTAGCTCTCCAGCAGTCCAAGGATAGAGATCTTGTTTTACTTTTACTTCCTATCCACCCCACCAAGTACCTCCCACCGTGTTAATTAATAAGAGTCTAACGTGGATACATCTTAAGCTGCCCATCAAACCATGAAAAATCAGCCTAAAACTGTCTCCGTACAAAACATTACTGGATCTTTATCGGTAAACATGCACCCAAAAATAACTTGTATCGAAGCATTTTAATAATAGTGTTATTTTACATTTGGAGAATTTTAACTACTCAAAGTGTCTTCACACACTTTATTTTGATTTAAAGCCTCACAATAAGTTTGGCAGCTGGATAGTGCTAGAATTATTATGCCTGTTTTAGTGATTAAAAAAGCCAGAGAAATTAAATTCTTGCTTGATGTCATAAGAGTCAGTTGTGCTCTTCACACTATATCACTGAATCCATTTGGCAGGTCTACAATAATATTCTAAATTTTAAAAATTCTTCCTTTGAATGTTTATTTTTAAGAGTCTCTGGGGAATAATGAATAAAACTGGTAAATTTTTAAAAGTTACAATAACGCTGTGTATAATTACAGTGATGGAAACATTTTGATTTCAAATTATGGGTAGCTAAATAATAAACACACTACATTTGACGGCTGAAAGAGTCCCACCTTATATTTTGAAATGAGTCCACTCTGGCTCTCTCTTTGGCCAAGTAACTCCTCAGCCCTTGTAATGTATGATTCCAGTTCCTTCAGTGATTCTTCCACCTTCCGCCTGACATCCAGGTCTGGTGAAACATCAGTTGAGTTCTTCAACATTGCAACTAAGTTTATCATGTTGATCTGTTAAGACAAAAAAAATCCCAAGTTAACACTTGGCTCAACTTCTTTAGTAGCAACTAATATTTTCCCACTAGACATAAGAATATCCTATTTAATATATTGGTATTTTCCAATATGCTATAAACTATAAAAAGAAATATAATGCAAAAGTAATATTTTACAAAACATTTCCAAACTACAGTGCAAACCCCATCTCTTTCCTGTCTTCCCACTGACCACTCAGTTTTAAAGATTAAAATCACGAAATATGGAATATCAAAGCAAGACCTGGATTCTCTCTTTAGCTTCTTGAATCTTTGCCTGAAGTCCAGCTTTGAGAACATGTTGGAGGGACTCCTGGCTTGAAATATTTTGTACATCCATTTGTAAAGTGTCTTCCATTCTGGACACAAGCTCTTCATACATAGAGCCTTTGGCAATAAGATGCTATTTAAAAAAATTAAAGTGAGACCACTATAAACATTCTGATTATATGTTAAACATTAATAAGCTCATCAGAAAAATCATAAAAAGTTAATTATTAATCTAAAATGAGGCAAATGTATACTCCAAAAATGTTATTTAAAAAACTCATTTTTAAATTTATATTAATACAATAAGATCCTGAGCAACATACTCTTTTATAGATTATTCTTTATATACTAAGCACGTCAAAAAAATAAAGACTAGAATTAATACAATGCCAATAGAGAGAAAATAAGTTAAGAGAATAGTAATAAACTTTAAAATTAAGTTGCTTTAAGTCAAATCAGTTGGAAGGGAATTTGATAAATGTCACTGGAGAAAATGACTTGAAAAATCATATTTTGAGACCCATGCTTTAAATAGACTATAAAAAACAAATCTCAGATGTATCAGAAAGTTATATATAAAATATCAAACTATAAAAAGAAGAAATCATCCATGAAAATTGATCTGTTCTCTGGGTGTGGAGGACCTTTTCAGACATAGGAGTAGCGACAGAAACGGCTACATAAATTTTTAAATTTTCTATATAAATAAACTAAACAACTTAAAAGTCAACAATTTGGTAAAAATGTCTGCTACACAAATGAAAATGGGTCATGATTCAATGAGTTCATAATTTCAACAAGAAAAATAATAAGATCCCAAAGAAAACTCAGAAAACACAAGAACAGATTAATCACAGAAAAAAAGAACTAATGAATATAAGATAGTTCAATCTTACATTTAATCAAATAAGTACAAATAAAAATAAGGTATCTTTAGTTATCAAATTATCAAAAAAAAATTTACTTACAACTCACGAGTGGCATGAGAATGATAAATCAGAAATACTGTAGGATGTCAATTATGTAAATGTTGATCTTGTTTATCTTAGAGCAGTGGAATTAGGGTGATTTTTATTTTCTTCTTTAAACTTTAACTCATTATTTGAATGTCTAAAATTAGCATGTTCATTTATAATTTCAAAATTTCCCTTTTTAATTATGAAAGTACCAAAAGCTCATGGAAAACGTTGGAACGAAAATAGAAAGGTACAGCATATAAAGGAAAAGTTCCCCTTCTTCCCTATCTCTCCCTTAGTTGTCATTTAATCAATTATTCACACATTCTTCAAAAAATGCTTTATACCTACTATGCACGAGGAAATGTGCTAAGAGGTGGGCATAATGCAAGATCAAGATAGAGTTAGTTTTTTGTATATCTTTACACATATTTTTCTATGGATATAAATGCATAAAGGATAAAAAAGCAACTGTTTTAAAAAGAAAAAGATCACATAAGCCATACTGTTCAGTAACTTGCATTTCTTGCTTTACAACATATCTTGATCCAATACAGATCTACTTAATTCCTTCTTAACAGAAGTATATTCTACCACATTAGCATTTTCCCTGTTTATAAGAGAGATCATTGTTATTTTTTGGAATATTTTTTAAATATTGAATTTCTCATTCCTCACTCATTTCTTTTACTGAAATAAATTCCAGATACAACAAATAAATACATATAAAAATTAAATTAGAAAAGCAAGATTGCACAGGCAAGTTTATATAATATTTTCAAAGCAGTAAGAAGTATCACTCATAAACAAATGAAAACACAAAATGCTATATAGATACACCTTTTCAGAAATGTAGATTTTTAAAAATTACATAAATGTTCTTTTTTTTCCTAGGAACTTTCCATCTTATTGTAATTTATGACATGCTCCATAAGTTTTATGGCTGAGCTTAGAACTCAGTAAAAACCACAATTGTAACTTCATTCTCAGAGGAACTGAATGATATTAAAACACACTCTTGCCTCATTGCTTTTCAATGAGTCGACTCTCTGAGAATAAAGACAGAGTGGAGTTTTAACAACATCTGTCATCCTCCTTACATCACGTTAAGAAGGAAAAGTGGCTTAATCAGTGGATGAGCTACCAAAGCCTAGACTGTATAAACTCTTACATTCATACTACACTGAGCTATATGAGATTGGACTCACTCATTTCACTGCCCTCTGAAACAAGAGAACATTTTACTCTCAATTTTGCAGCTGGGAAAATTAGTTGAAGAACTTAGACTCAAAAGGTATTATTAGTGGTCTTCTAATCTATCTTGTCTTCAAGCAAAATCACAGCAAATGACTAGGGATGAGAATCTATGCCATTATAAACCCCAAACAAAGAATATTCAAACAGTAGTCTTATTACTCTTAACTCTAAAACTTTTCATTTATCTTAATACATAAGTCTACAACCATGAAAGCTGTCCTTTAATATTTTTACACTCATACCTGTAGAGATTCTTCCATTGAGGTATCTATATCACCTTGATGTCTCAGAAGATCCGAAACAGATTTGATTTCTGCCTCCCAGATTTCCACTTGTCCAATGAGTTTTTCAATCTCTTCAGCCACATTTAGTTGCCGTGCAGATTTTCCATTTTCTTTTTCATGTTCTTCCTCAGCCTACAACATTCAAAATGATCACAAAGAAAATGACAACATTTACATTACAAAATAATTAACTTTAAAAAGTTATATCTGTTTTTCCTGAATAGTGCCAATTCAACTTATTTTAATGATTTAAGACTTAGTTTTTGAATAATGATAATAACACTTTATCATAGTACATATTTCTTAAATATTAAAAGGTTTGTTTACATATATTTTAATGATAATATCATTCCTATCAGCTACTCTTATCCCCATTTTACATATAAGATAAAAACTTATAAAATTAAGGTATTGATTGTATAAACACATTCTAAACCTTATATACAATTTAATTAAATCTAGCTATTAGCAATAGCAGTTGTAAAACATTGTCAAGAAAAGAGAATCAAATTTCAACAAAATTAAGCCTTTTCCCATTAATAATCTCTCAATAGCCTATAGGTTGATATGCCACAGCATTATATGATAAATACATTCTTAAAGTTATTTTTAATCAGATATTTTAAACGCATAAGAATACAGTATTCCGTATTCTTCTATTCTAAAAGTACATTGACAAATTCAGATCTTCCAAGATTTTCTCTTATTAAGTTTTCTTATACTTAGTAGGAAAACCCTGGCACTCCATTATAGCAACTGGCCAAAGCCAATTAAATACTACATTCTTAAGTAAAATTTTATGTTATTATTCTGAAAGAGACACATTTAAAAACCATAGGTATTATATTTTACCTGTGTACGATTTTTATTTTGTGTTCCTTTTCTTATCTATAATCTAAAATCACCCTCTAAATTACCCAATGAAGCAAGAAATAAAGATTATATTTTCCCCCATTTTACGGAGAGGAAGCAGGACCCAGGCCAGAGGCTAGCCCGACGCTAGACAATTTCTGAGCACTAGTCGGAAGTAATCTGAAGAAAACATTTCCACAGCTCAGAAGTCATGACTGCTTTGCATGGTTGCGGAACTCCTCCATAGGTGAGGGACACAGGCTTGAACATTAAAGGACACTTCATGAAGGGGGCCACCTAAGCATTTTACTAGAAAATGATTATACTTTAAGTGTTAGCTAATAATCACATTTACCACTGTTCCAACAATATGTTTTTTTCAAAATAAAAACAGTGAAGTTAAGTTATTTCTATATAGAAATGGAATCCAATAAGTATGACTATTTTACCTTTATATTCTGATTGTGATTTTCAGGAAGTTCTACTGACATATCTGTTGAAAAATCAACAGTTACTTTTTCTTCTTTAGATAGCTGAATATTTCCAGAATTGTCAAGAATGGGCTGGTTCTGTATTTTTATAAGTGGCAGCTTCATTTCCTATAAAAAAATTAATGTCATAAAATTTCATGCTTATAATTTTTATGCTAAGATATATTATCATCAACAATAAATGGACATAATATATTTGAAAATATGAACATTTCCCATAAAACACTTCAATCTCAAATTGTTAAGAATAAGAAACAGAATAACTTAATAACTTAAATTAAAAAATTATTTATTGAAGGTCTTCTTTTTCTAAACACTATGCTAAATATAAAGATAAATAAAGCACAGTATATGTTCTCAAGGAGCTTGAAATCTAGTAGGCAAAAATGCTTCTGCTATTTTTTAATGGTAAAAGAATTTCAAACAGAAAGCTGTATGTCATATGTACACACAAAAACATGTACATGAATGTTCACAGGAACATTATTCATAATAGCTGAAAAGGTAGAAGGAAGCCAAATACATGAACTGATCAATGATTAAATAAAATGTGGCATAGCCATACAACAGACTATTATTTGCCAATAAAAAGGAATGAAGTACTAATAATATGCTACATCGATGATCCTTGAAAACATTACTCTAAGTGAAAAATGCCAGAAATGAAAGACCACATGTTATATGATTTCATTTATGTGAAATATCCAAAATAGGCAAATCTTTAGAGTTATGAAGTGGATTAGTGATTGCCTAGGACTGGGAGGTTTGGAGAAAGTGAAGAGTGACTGCTAATGGGTACAGAGTTTCTTTATGAGGTGATGAAAATGTTCTAAAATTGATTATGGTGATGGCTGCATATACAAAAATTCTGAATATACAAAAAAAAACCCTGAGTTATATACTTTAAATTAGTGAATTGTATGGTATATAAATTTTATCTCAATGAAGCTACTACCAAAAGCAAACAAACAAACGAAAAAAAAAACTTACCAGCTGAGTTTTGGGGATAAACTTTCTCCATCTTTTGTTCAACCTTCTCAGTTCTTTAGAAATAGATGATCCAACTTCATCATTGCTGACTTGAATTAAGAAATTTCCCACTTCATTTAAAGTAGTATGTTCTAGATTCCACTGGGATAGTGTCTCAAAGGGAATCTACATAACATATAAGCAACATAATATTTTAATGACAAAATATTTGTCTATTTTCGAGTTGATTCTAAGCAAAAGTGAGCATAAGGTTTTTGCAGAGACTCTAACACTCCACTTGGAAGATTCCCCCATCCTTATCGGTCTATCTCTTCATACTTAATCACTAATTGGCAGGTGCCAGCTGTCTGTCATCATTCCTGGCCCTGGACTTTTAGGAAGCAACTGATCAATCTTTCTACATAGGTAATGAGCTTAGAGCAAATGTTCTCAAATTTTATTAGTTCACAGTGCCTTTAAGTCTCAGCAATTTTTTCATGGATTCCCAATGTCAGAAGGATGATCTAAAAGTTCTCATTTTTAAGTAGTCAGGGCCAAACAACTTAGAAATAATTTGCATGGTGTCCAACAGACTGATGTTGCTGTGTCTCCCTCAAAATTTAAATTATCTCGAGAGTACTCTTTTGCAGCTCAGAGCACCTTAGCAGAGTTTGGGAACCGCCAAGTATAAAGTTTTATTTTTCTCAGAGTTATGTGAATTTTAATAAAAGATCTTTAAAAACAGAAGAACTGTCAAAAGCCAAAGATTTGAATTTCTAGTATCAGTATACGCAACAGGGAGAAGTAATGACCACTAAGCTCTCCAATATTCTTTTTGCACTCATACATTTACATAAATTTTACTTTCATATAAACAGCTGATTTTCCATTGAGCTACTTGGAAAATGTTTAATCTGAGAGGTCATCTATAGCCATTTGCAACAGAGGAAAACAAAAAAGAAAAACTACCTCAGAAAATAATCATAAAACAAATTATTACATGAATAGCAAATGACAACAATAATGAATTACACTGAAATTTCTTCTATAGCTCTCCACAGAAATCTAAGGAATTTTGCTTTTCCTCCTCTAGAAACCCAGGAAGGTTTTAGAGCACAAAGGTATTCACTCAAATGGAAAAATTAAACTTTTAAAACATCAATTTATTTTAAAAATGTCTATATGCTATCTAGTACTCCAAGTCTTTTATTTCCTTTCCAAAGAATGTGGCACTATATCTTCCAAAGGCTACGCTGTGTATGTATATTATACTTCAATAAAGCTGTGTGTGTACGTTTTTGTAAAACCTATAATGAGGAGAAAACTTCCTTTTGGAGGTTATATTAGGAAGAAACTAAACTCTTTCTAAACTCTAGAGAATGTTCCAATTGTCATGCTTACTCTTCCCCAGCCTCTCATTTTTAGACGGAAAATGAGGGTCTCCAAAAAACAAAGCAAAACACGAACAACAAAAAATACAATTGAGTAGGTGCCATTAGAATGCAAATACCTCTTTAATCTGTTCCTTCTTTGTCTCCTCAAAACAAGCCTTTAGTAAGCGAAGATTTTCTATATAAGTAGCCCAACATGTCAGAACTTTTTGTAGAGTGGACTTCACATTATATATGCTTTTCCTATACACAGAAATATTATCTTCCAGCATCATATATTGTTCACTAATACTCTGATATTCTCCATCTATAATGTTGACAAAACAAGAAAATAATCTCAAAAAGTTTTTTATTAATAATACTGTTAAGAAAAATATTTACATATTAATTAACAATGGCAAAATAAATATGTACTCTAATATTAAAAGTGAATGCAAGGATTTTCCAAAGAAAACACACATATAAAACCAATTTCTAAAACATTACAAAGAAAAAGAAACAGATGAAATGCTATTTTAAGTGATGGTCATTTCATCAAAAAGTAATTATGTAGCTTTACCCAAATTCTTATGAATTTCTTCACATTTTTGAAAAGATGTTTCAAGTTGAGCGAGGAACTCTTTTTCTTCAATAAATTTCTGGGGGGGGGCAGAAACATAAGAACAGTTTTTACTTTTTAAAATGTATCAAGAAATCCAGATAGAGACACGTAAACACACATACGTTTACTGATGAAACACTTAAGTGCCAAAATTTCTTAAGGTTTTAATATTACATATTTGGGTAGAAAAAGAAGAGCAAATCAAAAAGAAAGATAGTTAAGGTCTAGGAGACATAAGTGTGAACACAGACATTATGGAGGTATGAAATCTGAAAAGTTTATCTGAGTGTGGTGATGGGGTTCTACAATGGTTTTCCTGTCTCATGGGAAAAGGCACGTTAAAAATAGCAATGTGAAAATCTCCTACTTCACATATTTACTAATACTGCATAATTTGTATTAGTTTCTTTTATTTCATATGTTTTATTAACACTGAATAATTTTCGATTAGATATATTAGAGTAAATTATAAATAGATACCATCCATCGTGTAAAAGCATTCGAAAAACTACCATTAATCAAATTATGATGTGTCCTATTGCAAGCAAATTCTGCTATGGAAAAGTACAGAGTTAATTAAATACTCATATGTATTGTGAACTTATTATATGCCAATGGTATGATTATTTAAATGGAAAAAAATTTTTAAATCAAAGACAAGAAATGAAAATATTCAAAATTTAGTCTAATTTAGAATGATGCTTCCTATCTGGGAATGTACAACATTTAAGTCATAAATTGTAAAATCTCTCTTCATCATGTTTTTCCATTTTTTAACTAATCTTGGATTTTTCTTTTTTGTCCCTCATACCAAAAAGGAAACAAAAAGATAATAAGGACTAACTGTAGAAAAGACATTTCTAAGATGCTTTAGTTGTAATTTATAAATGAACACACATATATTTAAATCACCTGAACATTTTTTCCTATAAAGTGTAAGAGGTAAATCCCCTCCCCTAAAAAAGCCTTATGATAGCACTACTGCTTTTCCCACTCTCAAAACTAAAAGGCTAAGATTAAAATGTTCTAAGAATAATTTAATTTTGAATAAACCCATGAATCTGAGTAGGAAAAAAATATTAAACAAGGTGTCCAATAAGTGAAAGTAGGAATTTTTAGTGGAAATAACTTCAAAACTTTCTCTAATATGTTACTTTGCCTGGTTAATACAACCTCCCCTGTTGTAGTAAATAATGCTGTTTTCTCTTTCTTACTCTTTCCTGATGTGTTATTTGACTACCTGTAATTCTTTTCTCCAGGCAATTTTTAAGCTAATGAAAGCTACCAACAAAATGTATCTTAGAACCTTTTCAGGCTAAAATTGTGCCAAAAAAAAAAAAAAATGCAAACCCAGCACCCAGACATGTAGAATAGTTATCTAAGCCATGAAATAAAGAAGCTTACACGCCAGTCTTCCATCAATAATTCCACAGATTCTTTGCTCCCATATTTTACGTTCCAAACATCTAATTTTGATTTCACTTCATCTAGTAAACCAAGGACTGAATACTTATAGTAATGAAATTGTAGAAGTGGAATGAATTTTTTTCCCGAAATGTTGTTGATTCTGGAAAAGAGTTTTAGAATTTAACTTAGTATTATGGCCAAATGTTGAGATATATGTTTGGCATTTTAAAAAATATTGGGGCTCTAACTTTTTCTTTTAAACACATGGTAGTCAGATGTGTCCTCAAATCTTTTTTAAACAAAGTAAAACAAACATTGTGGCTAGTATACATAACAACAATTTCTAAGGTGAAAACACCTAACAGAACGTTTTCTGAAGAAACTATTCCTATTGAGAAATACTGTAATAAAATGTTAACCTCCAAGCTATTTTACTAAATTTGAAAACTTCTGTATAACTAATGCAACTCTAATTTCAACATTATATATTAAAAACAGCTTTCATTAAGGCTAATACTCTCTGTAATCATCCTGATAAGCTGCTTATGAATAATGAGAAAAGAGATGATGTGGACAACCATCAATTAAAGAATCTCTATATTAGCACTGTTTTAGAGTTTATAAAGTGCTTTCGTTTACCTCCTCCCATTTCACCCAGTATCCTTATGAGACATGAATAGGATTAACATTATCCTATATTTACATATGAGGAAACATGTTCAGAGAGACAGAGTAACTTGGCCAGAACCAAGATACAGAGCTTAGTTCCTTATTCTAAGTCCAGAACTTTTTCTACCACCACATCCCACCATCCAATAAAAAGATGAAGTATGTTTGTGTGATATAATGTTACTAATACATAAAACAAGAAGGTACTGTTACCAAGATTTAAAGAACACATATCAGAAATTATCTAAATATCTATTTTTCTGGTCCCCATAGCACCATGTTAGTGCTCAAACATGAACTGTATCAGTTGCGAAATGGTAGTGTTACAAACCGTCTTTTCATTTCCTCCAATTTATAAGGTGGTACCAATGGCAAATGTTTTTCATCTCTATTTTCAAATACCAGGAGAGTATTCAAATGACAGTCAAATTTGTCCATCAGACTCTGAAAAGAAATTAAGCATGACATGAACCAGATTTATTGCCAAACACTATAACTGAGGGTTTGTCAATCTTATTCACTGTGTATGCATTGCATCTTTTTTCAAAAAAATCATAAAGCCTTTTCTGTTTTTAATTAAGATTTTATAAATAAATATTTTCATCATAAATGTTTAAACTGGAACACTTTTACAAAGAGGCAGACTGCAGTTTCTTAGGCAAAAGCGTTATTAAAATCTTTCGTTTTTGGATGTATTTTTCCATTCTTTTATGGGCCCAAATGTATAAACCTCATATACCAAATTCTTTCACGCCATTTTATTGAGAAACCAATCTCTCACTTTTTAAACCAGCCTCCCGCCTCCTTTTCTGTCATACTTTAGAGTTACCTTAAAACTTACTAGATGCTATTCTTATTGTTTCTACCTTAAACTAGTGTAATGCTCATGACAAATGTGAAGGTATCCTCCGGGTCCCATACATCTCCCATGGAATCATTCTAAACCATCCTCAAATACCCACTATAGTTCTTTCCCTTCTTGCTAGGACAAAGTCCTTCTCAAGAAGAGTCCCTAACAAAGTATAGACTTTTCACTGCTTCTTTTTTCTTTTCCAACCTTGAATAAAGCCATTTTCTCTTGCATTAGAGCTATGGCTTCACAGTTATCCTGGGAGGCTGGCAAATCTTCATCCATAAGCTCTTCTACCTCCTGGAGCCAAGCTTCAACTTGATGGAGGGGTGAGGGCAAGTCATCGTTCAGCTTTGTTTGCCACATATTAATCTGAAAAAAAGGGAGGGCGTTCTTCAGCAGACATTCCACTAGTTTATTTCTTCAAACATAGTACATTTCATTCTTTAAAGTTTCTCTGATCTGTCAGTCGAGAAAATCTTTATCAATGTGTAAACTTCTTAGTTCTAAATATCATTTGGCTACTTGCTGCATGACAAGATAATTTGTTTAAAACCCATAGAAGAGAACACAAGGATAAACACAAATGTTTTGATAAATCCATAATCAGTTATGAGAGGGAAATTAGAAATATTTAAAGCATCCCTCAAAGCAGGGGTAGACTACTATAATGAATGATCATGATTTGAAATGTTGTATGCCTTTGTGTTCTCTGACATTACAACTATATCTTGCACATGGATTTATATTTTCCTCACTAGCCCTAATTGTATATTCACATTAGATATCTCTACTGTATTTCTTAAATATCTGTCCTTCATCAAAGTCCCCCACAATGCAGGTGAACTTCTTCCTCAGCCTTCCCACCACTCCCTACATGCATACGAGTCACACAAATGCCAGCTACATATTTCCCCAAACACTGACTGCACTCCCAGGACTGGCTCCTGCTGCCCCTGCTACCTGGATTTCCCCCACTCAGCAACACTGTTAAAACTCACTCACTCACACACTCACACATTCACTCACTCACTCACTCATTCATTCATTCAGCAAAAATTCACGAATAACCTATTATGCTAAGAGCTGGGGAAAAAGATATACAGAAGGCTTTTGGAATAGAAAGGAGACATGGTGGCCACACACCACAAAGAACTGTGCAGCAGCTAGATGCAAATCTGATGTACACACATGGCGACTTAAAAATATATGGGTACATAAATACAATACTTGCTTTGTAAAAACATATAAATTAAAGATAGACATTAAGCACATCACAATAGTGGCCTAACGAGAAAGGGAAATGGAAGGACAGCATAGGTATAAAAGGAAATAAAATTAAACAAGTGAATAAAAAATAAGAGTAGGCCTTACCCAAACCCACGTGCCATGAGAGAAGAGTAAGTTTAACACAACCCTCTACATCTGAGGGTCAACCAGATAAATAAAAGTTACAGCTCTTGCCTGAAACACCTAACCAGGGAAGCAGACAAGTACACGGTTATAGTAAAGTGTGGTCAGGGATAAAACAGCATCAAGTAGAAGGGCCAGGGGAAAACCTTGGAAGAACACAAATTGCACAGTGATTACCAGAATTTTTAAACACAATAAAAACCCAGTCTACAGCCATGCTACCGTGAACAAGTCTGAACCCGTCTGATCTCAGAAGCTGAGCAGGATTGGGCCTGGTTAGTACTTGGACGGGAGACCACCTAGTACCACTTGCTGTAGGTATAAAAAATAAGAGATTGTAAGCTGACAAGGTCCTTGCAATCTGTGAGGTCAACCAAGGGTTGCCTCGCCTAAAAAAATAAATAAAAATAAATAAAAACCCAACTTTGAGACTACCTCCTCTCTTGATGACCCCATTAAGAATGTGGCTTTTTATCTGAACTCACACAGCTCTTTAATGGCGTTTTTGGTATTCTCATTTCAAAGACACTCCTATGAAGACCAAGAACAAATCAAAATCTGTTTCACTTAAATGACTTCCTCTAACAAAAGTATGAGCTGTTAGTCTGTATTTTCTCTTTCCGTTATAGTTCTACTAAATGAATTGTCAGTATTAGAGTTAAATTGTTTTTATATAGAGGAAAGAATAGGCAAAGTTTGTATACTATACGGGTTATCTGATTCATCATTAGTTCATTCAAAAACATTTACTGGGTACTCACTACATGCAAGGTATTAAAGAAAATATTTAAAAAATATATTAAAGAAAAAATTTAACCAACTACTCATATATAAAGGTGTTAAGTGAGGACAAAGTGAGGCTCCTTTAAGGCCGTCAAATGGAACTATTCATAAAATAGAAGCATTACTATTACAGGTTTTGCATTGTTTTTTCAGTTTTATTGAGGTATAACTGACAAATAAAATTATAAGATATTTAAAGTGCACACTGTGGTGATTTGATATATGTACACATTGTGAACGAATTGCTACCATCCAGGTAATTAACATATCCATCACTTCCCATATTTATTTATTTATTTATTTATTTATTTTTTGGTGAGACCACATAAATTGTTCTATTAGCAAATTTCAATGATATAATTCAGTGTTATCAACTATAAACACCATGTTTTACATTAGATTCTTAGAACCTATTCATCTTATAGCTGAAAGCTTATACCTTTTTACTAACTTCTCCCTATTTCCCATAGCTACCAGCCTCTGACAACCACTTTTCTACTGCTTCTGAGTTTGACTATTTTTTTTTAGGTTCTACATATAAGTGATACCATGCAGTATTTTGTTTTACTTTAATTGCCTTGCAAATTTATGTTCTCAAAAGGTATACAGCAAAAAACATCTACAATCTTATTAAATAATTAACTATATACCATTAAGCCTCCAGTGAGAAAAATAATGGAAATAAGTTTTCATTATTACAAGTTTTTAATATAAACAAGTTAGCATGTACCTCTATTATATCTAAATTATTTGTGTGTTTGCCAAAAAAAATAAAAATAAACCAGAAAACTAATAAATGATTGAATTACAGAGAGGCTAAGAATACCTCTAATTCAACTGTTATTCTTTCACAACTAAAAGAAAACTATCTATTTTTGGAATGAAATCACGTGTGTGCTTTCTGACTTAGGGCTGTCCTCTATGTAGCAGTCAGAAGAGGAAAGATAGAAGGCAGTGTTTACCTTCCAATCCTCTCCTTTCCCACTCAGCATAAATAACTGGTTCTACACTTTCTTTATCATTGTTGGAAACCACTTTTGAATTTGGCTGAAAATGTATATAAGATCTCGTTAGGTCAAAATAACATAGCATTGCTATTTTCGATAGCAAGCTTAAAATGAAACCATTTACTATGATATGATGCTTTGAGATATCTGGGTTCTCAAACAATTGAACCAAAAACTGTCTAGATGGTATTGACTTTTAGATACCTGATGACTTTAACTTAATATGTCTCATTTTGCTATACTAAGAAAATGAGCTGTATTCTACCTAAGGAATGGATTTTCAAGTTACTATCAATCTGCAGTACTTAATCTTGCGAAATAGTTCTTTTTATGGTTTTTATCATTATTTTGGGTAATTTTTCCAGCTCTTATTTCAGAAAATTAGGCTATGTCTCTGTGGCCTGGAACAGCCTGAACTATACATACCATATCTCTTCCTCTCCTTCCATTTTGTCAAAGATTCATAACAAACAGCTCCTGCCCTTGACCCGGGCCACTGTCAAAGCTGTGATGAGAACACAAGCTGAGAACGCAATGAGCACTGCAGCTTGATTAGAAGACTTTTGGACTATTTCTTGAAAATTCGGACACCTAAAGGGTGGCTCTTTTAAGCCACTAGGCTACTATTTAACACACTTCATAAATGGTGTGAATGTATTCTAAAATGGGCTGTTGCTCCTGACAGCCAAGAGACAGCAGGGACTGGTAAACTTTTCTAGGACCAAAGAGTTATTTTGACTTACGATGTCTGTTGCTACTCTGTAAATTCACTAAAAATCATTTAATTTTCCATTTAAAATGAGTGAATTTTATGGTGTGTAAACTGTACCTCAATAAAGATGTTTAAAAAAGAATAAAGGTAAAATAAAGACATTCAGACATCAAAGAAAACTAAGAATTAGCTCCCCACGGACCTGCATTATAAGTTAAAGGAAGTTTTTCAGTTAAGCGGTAAACTTTTCTGGGCCAAAGAGTTATTTTGACTTACAGATTATACGATGTCTGTTGCTACTCTGTAAATTCACTAAAAATCATTTAATTTTCCATTTAAAATGAGTGAATTTTATGGTGTGTACACTATACCTCAATAAAGATGTTTAAAAACGAATAAAGGTAAAATAAAGACATTTAGACATCAAAGAAAACTAAGAATTAGCTCCCCAAGGACCTGCATTATAAGTTAAATGAAGTTTTTCAGTTAAGGGATGTAAGTTCAGATGGAAACTCAAATCTCTAGGAAGAAATGAAGAACACTTGAAATGGTAAATATCTAAATAATATAAAAGACTAATTTTTCTCTTAATTTCTTTAAAATATGACTTGTAAGCAAAAATATATAACATAGTGCTGGGAACTTAAAAACATGTTTGTATCATACATATTTATATATAAAGTAATGATAGAATAAAGAATGAGATAAATGAATCAATTTAATTGCAATATTCTACATGTTAAAGGAAGTTATACAATAACTAAGAAGTTGTATAACTTTAAGTAGACTGTAAACATTTTAGAATGAATAATGTAATCCCACTTAAAATATGATAGAGATAGAACCAAAAATCCAACAGATAAGTTGAAATAGAATTCCAGAAATTTTAAGATAATTGAAAATGAAGAGAAAAAATAGAGATACAAAAAAAGAGGGAATAAACAAAGAGTAAAATGTTAACCTAAATTGAACCCGATCAATAATTACATTAACTATTAACTGACAGCATTTCAATTAAAAAGCAGAGACTGTCAGAGTGAATAAGAAAGCAAAACTCAACTATATGCTCGCTGCCTGTTAAGAGATGCACTTTATAGGATGAAAGTAAATGAAGGAAACGATATGTCACAGAGTCAGCATCAGAAGACTGGAATCAAATTAAGTAGACATCAAGAAAAACAATATTGCCAAAGATAAACAGGAATATTTCATAATAGTAAAAGTGTCACTTCATCAGGAAAACATAACAATCATCAATGTACACACCTAATAACAAAGTTTTAAAATACATAAAGCAAAATTTGACAGAATTAAAGAAAGGATTCTACAGATTCTAACAGCCCTCTCTGGACAAAATGTCAGTTAAGACATAGATAATCGGAACATTATCGACCACTTTGTATTAACTGATATTTATTGACTACTATACCTAATAACTACAGAACACATGTTGTTTTCAAGTATAAATAATATGTACACCAATACATACCATATCCTGGGCCATAACACAAGTCTCAATAAATTTAAAATGACTGAACTCATCCAGTTATATTCAGACACACATACACACATTCATCCTTACTTATTCTTTCTGGGCTTGTCCCTATCCTGTTTGAGCATCTACTGATAGTGACACATGACACTGGTCCATGGTAGAGAGGAGGCTGCAGGTCAATCAGAATATAGATAATCTACCATGGCAAACCAAGAACAGATGGAAAATATAAAAACTTTGGATAAGCATGCATTTTCTCTAAGCAGAATACTGTAATATTCCTATTTAAATATCAACCACTACCCAAATGAGTCCACAGAGAATACAGAACACCCTCCAACTTTCTGTTGAAGCATCTATTCTCTGTCCTTTACAGCAGTGGTCCCCAACCTTTTTGGCACCAGGAACCAGTGCTCCTATGAGAATCTAATGCCTGATGGTCTGAGGTGGAGCTGAGGCAGTGATGCTAGCGTTGGGGAGCGGTTGAAAATACAGATGAAGCTTCAATCACTGGCCCACCGCTCACCTCCTGCTGTGCAGCCCTGTTCCTAACAGGCCATGGACCAGTACACAACCTGGGGGTTGGGTACCCCTGCTTTACAGAATTCTGCATGAAAATCTAAAGCTCTCTTCCAAGAAACAAAGTGGCCCTGTGAAAATGACCTTCCAATCAACACAACACAGTAACCTGGTAGGTGAGGCCATCCCAGGCTTCTCTCAACTGTAACTCATCTTCATTCAGCTCATCCAGATTCCCTTTTGTTGAAAGGATATCCAAAAAGGATTTTTTTTCTTCATTGAATAATTCCAAAAAGGACAGCAGGCTCTACAATTAGAAGAATATTTTAAAGATTGAAATGCTTAAATCAATTTACAAAATGTAATCTGCATATTTAAGGTCTATAGTTATAGTTTATATTTAAATTTTTACTTAGATAAAGGCAAAATTCCCTGAATTTAGGATCTTCTCACTGATCCACTTTCTTTCTTCAATTTACCCTGATAATTTTGGCGCTGTCATAGTGACACAGGTCACGGCTTGTGTCTCGTGTCAGTACTGTTGGATTTCTACTGGAACGAAGTGGCAAGGTCACTCAGCTCTAGAGAACAAGTCATGATGTCACATGGAAAATTGTTTGTTTGTCCTCCCCAAATATGTGCTCACAACAAAACAAAAATAAGTAGAAGTGAGAATTATATGACAGCAGTCATTATGTATAAATGGTTTTTGAGGTCTCTATGATTAACTGAGCTTGAGCCAATTCTTTTCAAGTCGTTTTATACACTTTAGAAAATACTTTGTCTCTGCCTTCAAAAATTTAATAAATAAACTTTTCTTGGTTTGTATTTGTGTGAAATACTGGCATGCAAGAGTCATCGATTCCATAAATATTACTTAAAACATCCTCCATAACTATTGGCAACATTTTTAATTAAATTTTTTTGAGCAAGGTGAAGGATAATTAAATTCTTTCTGATAATTATTAAATTCATAAAGCCTTTTATTTAAGAAATGTGATCTGTGGTACCATACTAAATGAAAGACATATGTGACAACAGGACACTTCCAGTGGATGCTGAGCATTTTGTCAATGAAAAACCTATTAGGCCAGAGTGAAGAGGGAAAAAGCACAAGAAGCCTATGCAGTTCAGATGGAAGAAAGATGAGAATGCCTCATTCCTTTCTTTTCTGATGGCTCCAAACCCAAAAGGATGGTGTGGTGGGCAAGTCACACAATCCACTGAATGTTAGTGTCAGAAAGGCTGGATTCGCCCAACTCCCTCACTTATAGCAGGTCGGAAAATGGAGCCCCAGGGGTGCTCCATTTATTAACATGAGAGTACCTTCATCTTATTCAAGATGGAGAACTGGTGGGGAGCACAGAGTTACACAGACAGTGGGTATAAGAAACAAGACTGCAGAATCTGTACTTTGTCACCTATTAGTCTCCTTCAAGATGGTATAAGGAATAACTGCTTACCCTGGAGAGGCATCAGGACGTAAAGAGAGCTAGGGCTTTAAAGTTATACTTCAATTCAAATCCCACCTCTACCTATCAGTAGCTATGTAACCTTAGATAAATCACTTAGTCCCTCTAAATCTTATTGTCTTCATCTGTAAAACTGGAATAACAATACCATACTCAGCAGGATGTCTTAACATATAAAATGCTCATCAGCAAAGTGCCTGGTACAGAGCAAATGTTCAAATGTGGAGACAGTAACAATTGTCATTATTCCCCCAAAGGACTCCTTGGTTGAGGCCCTGTACTGTAATTCTGGAATGACCCCATTCCTGATTTCCTGAATTTTCTTCCATTCAATATTCATTCTGAAAAGCAGGTTCTGCTCTAGACCAGAGATTGGAAAACTTCTACTACAGAGGCAAGATAGTCAATATCTTAGGCTTTGTGGGCCATATGGTCTTGGTTGCAACTATTCAACTTTGGCACAGTGTGAAAGCAGCCACAGACAATACTTTAATGGGCATAGCTCTATTCAAATAACACTGGATTTACAAAAACAGGTAGTAGGGCCCATAGACTACGGTTTACCAAAGCTTGCTCTAAACCCTTGCTACTTAAAGTACTCTCAGAACCAGCAGCATCGGCACCACCTGGGAGCTTGCTGGAAATGTAGACTCTCAGGCCCCACCCCAGAACTACCGATTTTGAATCTACATTTTAACAAGACCACCCAGGTAATTCATACGCGCACTAAAATTTGGAAGTCCTGGAATTCAGCCTTAAAACTTGTTAATTTAGTATTTAAATAATTAACTATGAAAGATTATTTCCAAAAACATCTTACCCTTTCCTAAAAGTAAACTTCAAATAAATTGCTGTTTAAAGTCAGCCTTGAGGTTAAGAATAGTCCTATCTCACGGTAAGAATAAAACAAGTTAATATATATATTTTTAAAAAGTCATACTTACTTCATACTTTTTACAATAGGTCTCATTTTCTGAATCCTTTAGCATCTTCTGTAGTTTTTTCTCTTGTAGAGTTAACCAGACCATAGCATCTTTCATCTTTACCTGTAATTCACATATACACGCATATTTAAAACTATCATAACTTGATTTTTTTAACAATAAAATTAACAACTTCAAATATCAGTGAAATAATGCAATCATTACACACCAATGACTCATTGTGCCAAAGAGGAATTTTACCTGTTAACACCTTAAATTTTAAAATGGATTAAAACTAGCATCTGAGGACAATGTGCTAAAGAAACAGAGCAAGAAAGTCCCCATTTTTATTTTTGGCTTACCCATTTCCATCATCCTTCAATTTTAGAGACCATTACTCTAAACTATTTATTTATAGTTGGCATTTCAGAATACTGCTTTCTGATAACTCTAAATATGGGTTAATTCAAGAGATGTTCACATCCACCAAATTATTCACTGGCATCAAAAATACCTTGAATATTTTAGAGATCTTAAAAATAACACTATTAAAGGTCTTGATTATGCTATCATATAGAAGTAAGCGACAATTTTTTTCTTAGATTCTTGCTTAAGTGGTAAGCTTGCCTATATTTGGAAGCAAATTTTACTGCAGGAGGATAAAGCAAAAGAAGTTACATCTTATTTCTACTCTACTTTAACCTTAATTTGCTTTTTTTTTTCTATTAAGCAAGAGTGTTTTCTATATATTTTTGCCCCTGATTTCATGGAAGATTGAATTTTTAAATTTAATTTTTAATATGAAAATTAATTAGAAAAGAAGAGCGCCTCAGCAGGTCAGAAATCGGTGAACTGAATTATAAGCCTGAGTCTCAGCTTGAGTCTCTCTTCCAGAGTCAGCAACAAGCTGGTTTGGTGCCTCAAACATAACAGTTGGGAAAACATAGGCCTAAATTTGTCAAATAAAATACAAACATATGACTACTTGAAAACATATCTGAGAAAGTAGTTTAAATAAATTATAAAATAGCACTCGAAAACATTTTACTAAATTCACAGCATTCATTTATCTTCATAGAAGCAGAAGTGTTTATTTTCAGCTCAGTGATTTTTATGAAATTTCCACCCACAATATTTTGTATCATTGACTGCAAGTCAAAGGAAAAATTGAATAATGAAATAGCAATCTGATGATAACTCGAGTATCTCAACAAACAAGGATTGAGTGTAGAAACATAATGCTTCCATAAATTATATGATTCCATTTATATGAAGATAATAGGTAAAATGGAAATATGATAAAATTAGATTGTGGTGATGGCTGTACAACAATGTAAGCATACTAAAAATCATTGAATTATAAATTTTCCATGGTTTAATTCTATAATATGTAAACTGTCTCTCAATAAAGCTGTTAATAGCACTGGAATTTTTTAAAGCCTGCTAACTTAATTTGTCCTATGTAGTGCATACCTAAAAGTTGTTTTAGACAATTCAGCAAAGTTTAATAAATTACTACTTTTAACTTAAAAAAAAATACAGGGAAAATTAATCTATGGTGAAAGAAATTGGAATACTAGTTGCCTGGGGTAGGCAGTACAGACAAGAAAGAGGCACATGGAACATTCTCAGTAATAGAAATGTGTTACATCATTACTGGAGTATTTTCTACATGGGTATATGCATTTTTCAAAACTCACAGAATTTCACATTTAAGTTCTGTATGCAAATCATGTCAATTTTTAAAATTAAACCATAAGTAGGGTACAACAAAAATGAACCTGATTTGTACTTATAAAGACATACCTGAGTCTTCTCTCTAATCCGAGGTGCAGCCTTTGAGTACTGCAGAAATTGTGCCACGTAGGTCATGATTGATTTTTCATCAGGATTAACAACATCCACATCTGCAAGATATGCCACACTACCACTTAGCTATAGATGTGAATTACTGTGATTAATACTTAAAGACAGGCTATGCCATAAGAAAGCCTTGAAATAAATCAAACTAGTCATGCAAATGAATCAAAACCAGCCATGTAATCTCTGGTCACTCGCCCTGGCTCCAAGACTGGGTGGTGGCTAAGTGCTTAGATCTAAAGTCGAACAGAGCTGGGTTGAATCCTGGCAGTAGCACATCCATAGCCTCAATTTCCACTATGCATGTTGTACATATAAGCACATAAGTAGGGAGGGTGGAAAGGAGAACACAAAGCCCTCCTCCTTCCAGAGACACGGTACACAAACTCCAAGAGTACATGGCAACGGGCATCCTTTCCTGACACACTGGTCTCAACACGTGTGCAGTAAAGCATTTCTGAAAGTATATAACATAAGGAAGACATGATTAAGACATTCACAAGATTTTATTTGTTCATTCACAGAACAAATATATTCACTGAGAGCCTCCTATAGGCCAAGTTTTGTGTTGCATTAACAGTCCATGATAAAATAAATTTGGAAAATGCTGAATTAAACAAAGTTTATAAAAATTATAAATTCCTTAAGCGCAGAACTTCTCCAGACATATAATAAATTAGGTAGATCACAAAATCACAAAGATGCAATTGTAATATGTCACAAACAACATGAACATATAATTTTGAGGTGTCTCCTGATATATTCCCTCAATAACCAATGAATGTTATTGAAAAGAAAATCTTCTGTGCTTATTTTTAATTCAGTTAAACTAAATTCAACAAATATTTATAGAAACCAACACATGTAGGTCACAAGCAGGGATTACTGTACGGCTCAGTCCTTGCCCTCGAAGGATCTCAGGTTTCATCTCTTCAATCTTCCATCAGGTAGATGCTAGATGCCTTAAGACATTACCTGGCCCCCTCAAGGAGCTTACGGTTAGGTAAAAGACAAACAATAAACAAATACAACACATTATGCGTGCTTTAGCAAAGATGTTTTACTGGGCACAATGAGTGCTCTAAGTCAGCTAACAGAGAAAGTGAACCTAATTTATATCTAAATAATAGAATTCAAATCAGGAAGCATATGAAAGTATCAAAAATCCAGGAGTGGGGTATCAATAAAGGAACAATCCCTAAGAGTTATATTATTCTATCTTTTACTGAAAATAAAAAAGATAAATATCAAGATATGTAAAATAATGATACTGGCTTAACTAGATATTTCTTTTTGAAAGAACTTCTCATTTTATATGAAGCTGCACATAATGATTAAATGTTAAATGTTTAAATTATTTAACAAAATTATGTCAAAAGAGAATTCCTTTATTCAAATATGACTATGGTATTTGCTTTGCATAAATAATCATGATGTATTTCACATTTTTTATCTACTACTTAAGCTATTTAAACTGTGTTATGGGTAATCATTCAGTGGAAATTTGCCTTTATTATATTATTTATTTCATTAGTTGCCTAGTTATTTTCAAATACTAAAAGATTAAGTATTTTACACAAATAAGAAAGATTTGGAGAATCACAATATGAGAGAAGTATTTTTAAAAAAACAATAATCAGAAATAGGGACTAGAGCAAAGCACAGGGAAAAATTAAGAAAAAAAAGATAAAATCAAAAAGGAAAGAAAAAGACAAAGAAAGGGAGAAAAAAAAGAATGAGGAAAAACGGGAGTAAAGAAAAAACAAGGAGATGAAGAAAATGTTAACAAAAAGAATAACAAGCAACATAGAATCAGAGTAATGTCAAACCTAATATATAGAAATATAGAATCATTAGGCTGTGAATTAAGAAATACCATCTAATTCAACTCATGAAAACAAATGAGGTCCCAAAAGGCTAAGTAAGTACCTGTAGCAATGAGCAAACCCAGCACCCAGATCTTGGTTTCAAATACCATGCTCCAACAAAAGGAACCATGGCTCACGGGAGAAACGGCTGATCCCGGAACTAGGCTGAGACATACACAAGACGAGCCGGGAAAATTTTCTAGTGCCAGAAAGTAAAGACATACCCGAAAACAAACAAGCAAATCCCACATTGATGGGGATATGTCAAAGAACCACAGGAACAGAAAGAGCTCTCAACGGCCAAAAGTTTGAGCTTTAAAAAACATTTTTTATCTGAGCAGTAAAGTAGCATTGATACAACTCAAACTATAAAATAACATATCCAAGAATCTATACTGATATAAACAAATGGTTGGATAAATAAATAAATGGACGAGAACAGACAAATCTAAATAATTCATGTAGATAACCTGCCCTCAAAGAAGGTGCACATAACTCTCCTAACTGTGGGCTGTACATAGAAACTTCCCTCTAAGGAGTGCGGTATGGCAGGCAGGGAAACAAACAGTAACTGAGGTTAACCAATTGGTAGATATAATTTTGTGAAATTTAATAAAGAGTTTTAAGTTAAGTGCAGAGCCAGAGGAGAGAAAGAGCAATTGGGGGATCGTTTCACAAACTATATAAATATCTAACCAATGTACTGTATACTTGAAACTAATAATAAAATTAAAATTTTAATAATGTAAAAAAAAGAAAAAAGAGTTTTAAGTTAAATCCTACAGGATTAAAATTTAATGCTGTTACGTTTGCTAATATATGGATACTATTCTCAAGTCAACTTCACACTGGCCATTGTTTTAAAAAGAAAGAAGTTTCTTTACCTTCTGGTTCCAACAACATGGGGATTTTTAACTCTTGTTCTGCAATTCTGAAGGCTTCTTTCAGATTGTCTTTGTTGGATCTGTGCTTCACACTCTTCATGTCAATTAGGTCTGGTCGCAACGCATGAATGACAGCCAAAAAAGCTATCCCATTTCTCCAGCTTGACTTAAAATCTGTCACATTGACAGATTCACACCTATCGCAAGAAGACAAAAACATGATAAATATTATTTAAAAGAATAAATCAAAGGACCCCCAACTATAATCAACAGTAATTAAGTTTCAGTGAATCAAATATATCATAAATCATTCTAGGAAAATATTTTATTTTAATCTTTTAGTCAAAGTAAAATGCCAAGTTTAATAAGGCTCACAATCCTACAGAACATAGGTTTTGAAAGTGTAGGCCCCCTTGGACCAGCAGCCTCAGCATCACCTGGGCTGCAAGTGCTAGAAATGCAAATTATCAGGCCCTTCCCCAGACCTTCTGAATGAAACTCTGCAGGTGGGCCTGAAATATGTGTCTTTAAAAGCCTTCCAAGTGACAACGATATTCACTTAATGCTCTTCATTCAATAATCTGATGGCTCAAGACCGAATTTAGACCTGTATATGTAATTAAGTTCCTTTAACTAAAAAAAAATAATAATAATTTTCTTTCTCATTGGAACAAATTAAGTGATATACTGTACAAAATCAATGGCCAATAGTTCACTGGATAGACAGATCTTGTCGCACATTTGTGGTCATTACAGAAGAATGTCTCAACAAAATACGTATGTATTGCAAAGGAATGTTACTAAGCTCTAAAATGGAAGGGCATTCTGACACATGCTGTGGCATGAATGAACCTTGATGATATGCTGAATGAAATAAGCCAGTTACGCAGGCACAAATAACTTGATTCCACTCATTTAAGGGATCTAGAGAACAGTGAAATTCATAGATGAAGAAAGCAGACTGCTGGTTGCCAGGGGCTGAGGGAAGGGAGGAATAGGGTAGTTGTTTAAAGATACAGAGTTTTAGTTCTGCAAGACAAAAAAAGTTCTGGAGATAGACAGTGGTCATGGTAGCACAACAATGTGAATGTACTTAATGCCGCTAAACTGTACACACACAAAAAATGGTTAAATTGGTAAATCTTATGTATATTTTACCACAATAAAAACAATTTCTTTGGGGGAAAAAAAAGCCCATCATAGCTTGTTGTCGTATTTGGAATAACATCTCTCACTCTGGCCCACAAAGCCTTATAAGATTTTGCTCCTGCCTAGCTCGCCCCACTTTATGTCTCCCGTCCCTCACAGTGTTGCAGCCACACTGGCCTCATTCCTGTTTTTCAATGGCCATGCTCTTTTTAATCCTGCTTGGAAACTCTTTCTCACGGATCTTCATACACCTGAAGCCTTCTCCTTCAAGCCTCAACTCAAAGGTCTCCTCAGAAAGGTACTCCATGACCACCTAAGATAAAGGCAACCCCCTCCCTATCTCTGACATTCTCCATCATCATAAGTTCTTCCTAACCTTATTGCCAAATATAATTATACTCATTCATCCGCTTCCTCCAACAGGGTGTGAGCCCCTTGAAAGCAAGGGCTTTATCTTTCTTGTCCATCATGGTAGATTCACCACTCAAACATTACCTGGCATATAAAGACACTTAGTATATATATTTCAAATCACTCAATCAATTACTAATCTGTATTTGACAAGGGAATCACTATTCTGTATTTGACGAGGGATGAAGATATTATAAAAGAGTATAATTGCCTACAAAGTGTGGGAAATAGTCCAGAACAACTATGGTTTCTTTTTCATGGTAGATTCACCACTCAAACATTACCTGGCATATAAAGACACTTAGTATATATATTTCAAATCACTCAATCAATTACTAATCTGTATTTGACAAGGGAATCACTATTCTGTATTTGACGAGGGATGAAGATATTATAAAAGAGTATAATTGCCTACAAAGTGTGGGAAATAGTCCAGAACAACTATGGTTTCTTTTAATATCCCATTTAAAAAAAAAAAAAAAAACAAACACACAAGGAAATTCAATGGACTAATTTAAGGTATAAATCAAATCATAAAATCTACTGAAGAAACAGTCTGCTTCATATGACCTGTGCTTTCCTTAGGAAAAAAAAACCTAAATTATGACTGTGATAAACTACATAGTTTTTTTGTCTTATTTAACTAATACTTATGTAGTGCCTACCGTGTCTAGAAATTGTTCCAAATGCTTTAAAAAATAATAATTCTTATAATACACATAACAAGCCTATGAAGTAAGTATCAGTATTGTCCACAGTTTATAATTGAGGAAACACAAACACAAAGAGATTAAGTGTCTAAGGTCACCAGCTAAAAAGTTCTGAGAGCCAGGACTCTAACCCAGGTATTCCTGCTTCAGAGTGTATGCTTAGATACTAAACCAATAACTAACGAGATGGGGGCTGGGGCTGGGGCTGAGGGCAGTGTCAGACCACCTTCAGAGTGCTGAGGGGGCCAGAGCCAGCTCACTGCTGGCTGGCAGGCACTGCACTCAATAAAGCACCGAGCAGGGAGGTCAGCTCTACGCTGAGGAGCTGAAACCAATGTCACAAAGAACATATTGCTGCCGGGTGTTAGAGAGGGCAGGGTTAGGCTCCAAGGTAACTGGTAGGATCTAGGCTCGTTTAGAATTCTCCAATGGGGGCCCAACTCATCTCCTTCAAAAATAAGAAAATACAACATATTTCTTACATCTAAATCCTAGATAATCACAGAATATTAAAATAAAATAACCTAATAATACCACCAATGATGGCCAAAACTAGGATAAACCTTTGATATATTACTTAAGAAATAGTACATCTTAACAAATTTAGCCTAAAATCTGTAGCTGAAAAATAAGGACACGAGGAAAAGTTAAACTGTGGTAAAATATATGAATTTTGAAAGAGTTTAAACTTATTTACACATAAATGAAACAAATCTGAATAATGCCTTTTCACACATGCAATATTTTAGATTAAAGAATTTACAAAACTGAAGTAAAATTGTCTCTGGGAGATTCAAGAAAAAGTTCATCTAATATATTTAAAACCTATAAGGTATGGATGTTTGTGTCCCTCACAGAATATAGAGAATGAATGACAAAATATGGCTGAAAGTAGAAATTAACATCTTAACCTTTTATTAGGAAGGAGTTACTCAGAAGCCTAACATTTTATGAAAAGGTTGAGCAACATATTTATGCCCCTATTTACCCAGACGATACAATGAGGTGACAAAGAATGCCCTTTGAACTCCAGATCTCTTCTTGTGGTGAGTTCTCCTGCATCCTAATTCTTTATTTTTCCCAAACTGCATCCCAGCAGTTGGTTAAAATGAAATAATAAATGTCTCCCAAAAGCAGAAAACACTTTTCTTTGTAAAAAAGAAATTATAAGTGCTAACTTCCCTTCATCATGTACATTTTGTAAAAACACACACTCTCTTGTCTTTTTGTTTTCTAAATAATCTCTGAGTTTCTAAACAAAGGGGACCGTGGTCTTTTAATCTAGTCATGTACAGCACAAAGAGATAATTTTATGAATTGGTTAGTTATTCACTTATTTGTTCATTCACCCACTCAACACACATTTATAGAACACCTACCATGAACTCATATTATGCTAAGTTCTGGGGATGCACAGTCAATTCAGACACAGCTCTGACTTTTAAAGAGCTCTTAGAGTGGTAAAACTTTTTGAATCTAAACCCACCTTCCAGATACATAGGGGAATTGTACCTAAAGGAAAGGATACTGAAAGACCACTTTATTTGCACACAGTAATAGGCCACCTACACATGTGGGTAGGAATGAGATAAGTTACTCAGATGATACCACCTTCTGTTCTTCAAAATCAAGAGTGGCTAAGCTTATGGACTTCTACTTTTGGAAGATTCACTGTGAGAGGAAAGGGGATAGTGAGCATTTTCTTTGCATGAGAGGGAAGTATTCAGGTGGGTGTTACACCCAGTATGTCTGATTTTCAGACCCAGAGATCAGTAAAGTTGTGTTGGTGGGTACAGCTGTCATGTGTGTCTCCTCTGGTCGTAGCAAACTACTTACATGGCACATTGCTCCTGAACCCACAAGAGAAGAGCCTTCTTTGCAGACATCTGCCATCTTTTTTGGGCTTTGGAGCATTTCTTAGCTGGAGGACTTGAGGTAGGAGATGACTCAACCACACTCACATCGTCAAGGGAAGGTTGACTATAATTGCAAGAGAGAGTCCGGGCAAGCTCCTCAATCTAAGGAAGACATAATAATAGTTAACACAGAGAGAACCATAAGTTAGCAGCATTGAGGCACAACTTTCAGCCAAAACAAGACCTAAGAAGTATTATATAACAATGACAGTTTACTCATGGTGAAATGAGCACTAGACAAATCCTTGAATAATAGCATCTGTCATCTGGGGCTAAACTTTGGTTTTCTTTCACTGGACTCAGTCATGTCATTCCACATTGAGGGCAAGCATCTATTCATCTCCCTAAAGTGCTTACAGAGTATTTTACTAGTGCTCAACGTCTGTCAATCTAAATTGAACTAAACTAAATTGAGCTTCTACTCTAGAGTATCTTCAGAGACTGGTCAATTAAAATCTATCTTTGATCATAAACCATTAAGAAACAAATATACATATGGAAAAACATATGGACAGATTAGGCCTCAGGAAAGAAACGAAATTTCCATTAAGTATATGAAAAAATAACCTCATTAGTCATTTAATAATCTAAATATATACAGCTAGAAAACAATTTTTCATATATAACATGGGCAAAAACTTTAAAAGTTAACATTTAGTGATGGTGAGAGCATGAGAAACTGGATATTCATATATTCCTGTAAACACAAAAATTGGTTCCGATTTTTTGGAGGACAATATAATAACTACAGAAAACTTTAAACACTAAAACCACAAACATAGAAGTACACTTCTCTCAATAACTGATAGATTCATGTAACTGAAGTAGATGTGACTAACACAATAAACAAACTTGATCTCATTAGCATACTCCATTGTACCTAAAATGGCAGAATCAAAATTCTCTTCAAGAACATATAGAATATTTACTAAAATTGACCTGCTGAGCCATTAAGCAAGCCTCAGAATTTTGAAGGACTGAAATCAGATTAAATTCTTTGACCACACAAAAATTAAGCTAGAAATCAGTAAAGAAGATATAACAAACAAAACCCCCAAATATTTGGAAATTGAACAACAGATTGTTACAGAACTCATGAATCAAATGAGAGATCATAATGAAAAAACATTTTGAACAGAACAGTAATGAAACTATGGATGAAAAGATGCAATATTTTAAAGATGTCAACTTTTTCCAAATCGTTGTATACATTCAATGCAATCCTCATTAAAATTCCACCAGATTGTGTGTGTATAAACTAACAAGTTATTATAAAATTTATATGACTATCAAATCAACATGTTGTACACCTTAAACTTATACAGTGGTATATGTCAATTATATCTCAATAAAAAAAGTTTATATGGAAATTCAAAGGGCAAAGAAGAGCCAAGATAATCTTGAAGTACAAATTGGACAACCACACTATCAGATATCATCAAGGCTGACCATACAGCCAAAGAAATTAATACAGTAGAGTACTGGTGCAAGGATAATAATGGAACAGAACAGACAATCTGAAAATGAAGCCACACATACATGGTTACTAGATTTATAAAGGTGACATTACAGTATAGTATGAAAATCATAGTCTTTTCAATAAATAGTGTTGAATCAACTGGATAGCCATATGGAAAAAATAAATCTGGATTGCTTTAACATGACGTACTCAAAAATATCAACTCATTCTTGAAAGACTATAGATCTAAATGCAAACTGTGAAGCAACTGAGCTTTTAGAACTGTGTTTTCCAATATGATAGCCACTAGCCACATGTGGCTATTTAAATTTAAATTAATTAAATAAAATTTAAAATTTAGTTCCTCATTCATACTAGCTACGTGTCAAGTGTTCAAGTGGCTGGCGGCTACTGTTTTGTACAGTAGAGCTACAGAACATTTCCATGACAGCAGAAAGTCCTACTGGACAGAACTATTCCAGAAAATAATGTAAGAGAATATCTCCATGATGTTGGCAAAGGGAAAGATTTCTTTAAAGAATACAAAAAGTGCTAGCCACACACAAAAAAAAAAGTTGATAAATTTGAACTCCATTAAAATGATAAATGTGTGTTCATTAAAAGATTAAAAAGGCAAGCCATGGAGTCAGAGAAGAGATCTGCAATTTTTATATACTCAACAAAGGACTTGTATCCAGAATATATTTTAAAATTTTTATAAATCATTACACACAACAGCATAGCTATGATAAAAAAAAAAACTTCAATGCTAATTATTAGTGAGGATTGGGGCAAGGAACTCTCAAACTCCAGTGACAGTATAAATCAGAACAAATCTGAAAAACTCTTTGGCCGTAACTATCGAAGCCGAAGATCACATGCTCTGTGGCCCAGGAGTTCGATTCCTAGATATAATACATGTAACAGAAATGCAGGCCTGTACCACTGAAGGGCACGTACAAGAATGTTCCTAGCAGCTTTATTCGTAATAGCTAAAAACAAGCAACAAAAAGAAATGTCCATCAACAGTAAAATGTTAAGTAAGTTTTGGTACATTTGTGCAACGATATAGTCATACACAGCAATGAGAAACAAAGACCCACTGATACATGCTTTAACGGGATGAACCTCACTGACATGATGTTAAGCAAAATAAGTCAGACACAAAAGAGAATATAGTATATGCAAGAGAATTCAGTGATAATTCTTTCTATGTGGAGTTAAAGATGCTAAATTAATCAATGACAGAGATCAAAGTGGTAGTTATCTTTATAAAAGGAAGGCAGTGACTGGGAGAAGGACCTGGGCATTCTGGGATATTGGCAGTGCTCTGTATTTTTATCTTTGGTTAAATGCTGGTTACATGGATGACGGGCATGCTACATGTCAACAAAAGTTTATTTACGATATTAAAACAAAACCAAAAAAAAGCTTTAATTTTGCAAACTTTATGATTCGACAATTCCACTTCTAAAAATTTGGTCCACAGAAACAATTAAGATTGTATGTAAAAGTTTTAAGGGTAGTCTTTTTGGAATTGCTTACAGTCACAAAAAAATTGTGAGCATTCTTTCTATTAATGAAATGCAGTACTTTTACATGCTTCCATTAAAATATATATAAATTCAGAAGGATGTTAATTAGAATAGGTTGAAAAAGTATGAATAGCATGACCCCATTTTAACATATACATATATGAATATATATATTAATTCTTGCTGCATATATCATGAAGACTGCATACCAAATTATTTAAGGTAGAATTACAGACGACTTTATTTTCTTTTATTATCTATATTGAAATTTATATTATATTTTAAATACCCTGGAAAATATGGATAATAATAAAGTAAATGCCTAGGAATGATCGATTTTTAATATTTTATCACATTTGTTTCCTATTTTTTTAAAGAAATAAAACACAAATACGGTTTAAGCTTCTATCTTTCCCTCTCCAATGCCAATTCCTTCCTTTCCCAGAAAAAGAAAAAAAAAATCCTAATTTACCTTTCATCATCCTCATACATATTATTCTACTGTAACTATAAATGTAGGTATCCAGAAATGACATATAGTCTCATTTTGTATGTTTTAAATTTTACATAAATTAGTTGTTTTCTATTTTTTCTAAAATAAGCATTTGCTGCCCACATAATTTTAAGTTATTTTTTAAAACAACTATGGAAATACAGAACATGCAACTTTCTAGAAAGCTGCAGGAAACCTGCACTCATTCAGAATCCCAGGCCTGAAAGAATGTATTTATCAGCCATAGTGTCATAAAGCCAGGACTATAACTTATTTGCTGTTATTTTCTTGGTGTCCTAGCACAAAAGCTGGTACATAGCGGGTGCTCAAAAATATTTTTGGCATAAAATGAATCTGTGAGTCAGCCTTGGGACAGAACTGGATTTTGTAGGATGATTAGATTGGACAAGGGTCCTCAAAAATAGAGAGTTTAGTGGGTTAGTTTTCAAGAATTTACTCCAAAAGCTTCCTACTCTCTTTTCTACCAGAGTAAATAAACAATAACAAGCAAAACTACCATGGCAGGTTCTATTCAGACAGGTGCTGCTATTGAAAATTCAGGATATCATGATAATACAGTTTTCCATTTTCAACTAAAAAACTACGTAAGTGGCAAAAGATCTGCTATATATTTTCCACTTGACAAGATTTCCGGAGTGTCCTATTTCTAGAAGAAGCTCAGGACTGAATGCATCAAGTCACACTTATTGCATTACACTTATTTCATACTGCAGTAATTAGAACAGAAATTACTTTCATATCGCCGAACTACTTACATGAAAGTGCAATATAATTGTCCAAATTAGGCCAAGAATAATGGATGGGTTTCCATCTATAATATCAGCAACATGAATATTTATCAGCTTGATCTGGAAAAGAAAAAGCGCAGGTTAAAAGGAGAAACTATTTCACAGTATTAATCTCTGCAATAAATTTTCATGTGAAATTCATACTCACTGATCGGTTTTTTAGGAATGTCAGGGCATATTCTATATTGATTCTACACTGGAATGTATTAGATCCTTTATCTCGAGGCTATGAAATTCAAGCACAATATATTACTTGGAAATATGAATTTTTTTAAAAAGTCAGCATAAAGTTTCTCAATGTCGTTTTACAAGCTTACCAACTCTTGTCCTGAGAGTACTTCTAGCAGGTCCAGGAGGACGTGCCCCTTCTTAATGTCTGTGAATAGGTCTGATATCACCGAGGGAGGAGTGTGCTGCAAAGGTCACAAAAAGAATAATCTCAGACTTTGGTCCCAAAACACAATAACCGTAAGAATCTCATAAATGTGCTTTGTGTGTTTGCAAAAGCTAAGATTTGGTAGTGATTTTCTTCTTTACTAAAAGAATGATAGTAGAACACACACAGTTCCATATCAAAACATGGTAAGTAGTGAACTTAATTCATCTCATGGCAAATTTCCAGTAATGCAACACTTTTTTTTGCTTTCACAGAGAGCTTAAAACCCGTGCGTAGAAGTGGCATTCAAGACATTCAGAATCAGCCAACAGTGACCCATTTGGGAAGAAGATGACATTTCTGAAGTAGCCTGTTTATGAATTTACCCTGTTTAGAATTACAAGCACTGTGTTGAGGTGGGTAGACTATCAGGAGAGGCACTTTCATTTTGTATCTAGGTTACTCTAGGCACTTGGCATCGCTGAATGGCAGGCTGGCACAGTGATTATGATCAAAGCCTCTGGGTCCAGACGGCCTGGGTTTGTATCCCAGCACTATCATTTACAAGCTCTGTGACCTTGGGCAAGTCACATAATTTCTCTGTACCTTAGTTTCTGTGTTCTGTAAACTGGAAAAATTCTATCTCGTGGGCATGCTGTGAAATCATTGAAATGCAATGAGTAGTTGGCAGAGGCAGTCCCTGCCTTAAGATGGTTTGATTTAAGGTTTTTCAACTTTACAATAGTGAGAAAGTGATATGCACTCAGCAGAAACCATACGTCGAACTTCGAATTTTGCTCTTTTTCTGGGCTAGCAATATGCGGTAGATACTTTCTCCTGATGCTGGGCAGCAGCAGTGAGCCACGGCTCCGTCAGCCATGCGATCACGAGGGTGAACAACCCACGCCCTACAGTGTATTCTAGGCGTTAGATGATTTCTGCCCAACAGTAGTCTAATGTAAGTCTTCTGAACATATTTAAGGTAGGAATCATTATTATAATTTCATTTGATAAAAGATTTGTTGCTGCTTTAAATATTTTTATAGCACCGTCTCCCATATACTTAACAAAAGTACTTCTTTTTAGTGCTGGGAAAGAACAACAAATATTCAAGAACAAGATTAAGGTGATATTTGCCACATTCTTTCAACCTTTTACTTGTCACCAGTGCCATTTTTGGGAACCAAATTGAAGGAGTAGAAGTAACTTAAATGAATTTATAGTTTACTTGCTCTTTTTTTCCTCACCTTTGCCAACTGTGAGTTTATCCAGCAGGTGAAAGTTTTCTTCTGAGTGTCTTCCTGTTCAGCTATTTAAAAAAGATAACAGCAGTTATAAAATGAGAAGCCTCAGAAACCATTTAAACATATCAAAGCCTCAAAGGTCTGTCACTCTGGGTGTGGGTGGGTGGGTGTGTGTGTGTGTGTGTGTGTGTGTGTGTGTTTCACACCCTTACAGACCTTCTAGGACATAATCTTAATTTCAGATGTTTGTCCAAGACTGTTTTGGAAATAGGGTGTTGATATGAGACATTTTTTAAAGTCACAGGTTAGCTGGCAAGAGATGATGGTTTTTAATACTTTTTACTAAGAAAAGAATTAAGTACCTACATGGCCTTGACAGTGCTATACAAAGAACCATGAGCAAAGGGAAGAGCTTCCAGCCCAGGACTTGCAGTCTAAGCCAGCGCCATGTGGTATTTAAAGATAAACCACAGAACATCTGGAGCTATTTTAAAAGGCTCATAAAATCGTTGCAGTTTAGTCTTGATATTAATCATGAGTATTCATCATAGAGAAGATATTGCCACTGAATTAACTATAAATGAACCGCAATTAGAGTCAGAGAGACCTGCGTTCAAATTCTGTCTCTGACACTGCATAGCTGTATGACGCTGAGCAGCTTCCCCATGGAATAAGGTAAGCAGCACTTATACAGAGACTGTTAACAATTCCTTTAAAGTGAACAGACTCTAGCACCCAGGGAACACATGTGAAATGTTAGCTTTTACTCTTAATAAGTGGGCAGGAGTAAAGGGAAAGATCTGAACATGCAGAGTGTATCTTTTCTTCCTCCCCAACGAGGAGTGAACCCCACACCGAACATGCTTCCCTCAACCTTCTATACCCTTGGCTTTAGCAGACACCCTTGGCTTCAGCAGACACCCTCAGCTCTGAGGCTTAGGGTTAGCCCTGCACATAAGGACCAACTTTCCATTTTCCCGAGTCTCCTCACCCTGCTGGACTGGGATAAGAATAAGTCCAGACACCCACTCCTCCTTGCGCCTAATACTCACAGCTTTGTCACCACTGCCCACCTCAAGTTCACAGATCTCATCTCATTATGACTTTATCCCTGCTTATGTCGGTGTACACACATACGCGCGCAAGCACACACACGCGTGCATACACAAGCACACACACACGTGCATACACATCCCAGACTCTGAGCCCCCCCTCAATTCTCTCACTCTAAGTTCCATAAGATTCTGAATATCTCCCAGCTGTTCTCATTTCCCATCTCTCCTTAACTCCTAAAACCCTTCCACTGATGCTGAAATCCACAGTACACCATCGGCATAATTCCCTGTGTGCCCACCACCCTCTCCAGGTAACTGAAACCTGGCCCTCCTGAGAACTCTGCTTTCCCTGCAGCCTCTCATGCAGTGCCCGTGTTTTCTCTTACAGACCTTGGACCATGGCTGCTTGCTCCTCGCTGCTACTTTCAGACTCTCTGTTACTCTCTCTGTCCCTGAAATGTTCCAGCTCTGACTCTCATGTAATCAGACGGTCCCCTACAATACAGTCACCTACTCATTTCTCAAAGGTTTTAGTTCCTTCCCCACTGCTGCTCTCTCCAATACAACTGCCTGATTCTTGGCAACTTCAACATACATACCGATAGATGTTCCAACCTCCTGGTCTCTGTTTCTTGAATTCTTCTTCTCCAATGAACTTGTCTTCTGCCCTGCCTCAACCACTCACTGTCATGGTCACACCCCAGACCTTGTCATTACTAATAACTACAACTCATAATCTCGATTTCGCGCTTCCTACCTCTCAACATCTTATCTTTTCAGTTCATTCCCTCTAGTATTCCAACTCCAACAATTGTTGGATTCCACTGGCAACTCCAAGCCATCCACTCTGCAAGCTACATGCTGTCTCTCACTCCCTCAATATCCTTCCTTTCACCCTTATCCAAATTCCATAATCAATTATTACAAACACTCCTTTGCATCTCTCATTATGTTCTGAGTGCTTGCCACAACACTACTCTCTGCTTACTCAGACCTATGTGCATGCTGTTGAATCTGGCTTAAAGAAAATCCATAACTGTGCTTGCTGACTGGTCTCACCATGACCTGGGTCCAAGTGGGCCCCCAGTGCTGCCTGGCAGTCAGACTATACTGCCCTCTCCCACTTCCTTACACTGCAATTTCATACCTTCTTTCTCAAACTTCCAACACCTCCTCTCCCATCCTTACTCTCAGCTGAGACCTTGCTTCCCAGAACAGGTAAGGAATCATCCACTCCCTAATCTAAAAACCTATCACAGTGCTCTGCCTCCAACCCTTTAGCATAGTAAACTAGCCCTGCTCAGACCTAAAACCAATCCCTTCATTAATTCATTAGATCCCATCCTTTTGAAGCTACTCAAGGACATTTTGCTCCTTTCTCTCCTATATCATTTTCTTTTTTCCCCTCTCTTTCACAAACCATCCTCATCAGTACAGATCCATGCTATTCATTCATCCACCCAAAAACAGTAACAAAAACAAATATCCTTAACCCCGTTGCCCATGAGCTACTGCTTCATTTGTCTACTGCCCACTGTGGCAAATCTCCTCTAATATACGTATCTACGTTCATGGTCTCCATGTCCTCTCCTCCTTCTCTCTTAACAGAACCCACACCAGTCAGGCCCTCATCATTCCACTGAAACTACCCTCAAGGTCATCAATGACTAATCACTAAAACCAATGGCCAATTCTCAGCCTTCGTCTTTCTGGAGAAAGCAGGAGCATCCAGTACAGATGATCACTCTCTCCTCCTGCTCCTAGGCCCCTACACTCTACGTTTTCCTCCTGCACCACAGGTTGGCTTCTCTCCTCCTCTCATACCTCATATCGAACGCCTCAGGAAATCCTCTTAGGTCCACCTTCAAAATATATTCAAAATATGACCACTTCTCACTGCTTTACCATAGCCACCCTGGCCCCAGTCGCTTTTCCCTCCACCTGGATTACTGAGATAAATTCCTAAAACAGGTCTCCTTCCTTCCACACTTGTCCTCTAAATACCGTTCTCAACACAGCAGCCAGAGTGATACCGGAGTGATACTGCTCAACTGCTAACTCGGATCAGGAAGCCCCTTTACTCAAAACCCTGCAAGGTCGCCTCACTCCGCCCCTTATACTGACAACAAGTCTAAACACCAACGGCCCCCACTCCCCTTTCCCCGACTTGCTCATCCTTGTTCATTCCACTCCAACCACTCTTGCCTGCCTGTTTTTCTCAAACTCTCCACATTCCCGCCTTAGGGCTTTTGCACTAGCTGTCTTTGCTTCCAGGAATGTTCTTACTACAGATATCTCCACGAGCCTAACTCTTCATCTCTTTCAAATCTTGGCTCAAATAGCACATCACCCGTACGATCTATTCTGACCACCCTGTTTATAACTGGAACACCCCAACTCCTGCTCTATTTTTTCGACAGGACTTATCACTATTTAACATTCTATGTAAGCTATATATGCAGTATGTGTGTTATTAATGCCTTGCTCTTCTCCCCATAAAACGTAAGCACCATGTAAGCAAAGATGTTTTTGCCTGTGATATATTCCAGGTGCCCGGAAGAGCCTGACCCAGAGTAGACCCTAAATAAATACTTACTGAAAAAATAATAATTTTACTAATTATTATTATTGTTACATTTTGTTTACTATACTGAGAGGGTAAATCTACCTGTATGTGTCTACATTTCTTTTTCTAAAAGCTATTCCACCTTCTAATACTTTGTTTCCTTTGACTCCTCCCATTTCCTTATTAATCTCTATCTATCATAGCAGTAACAGACTGAAAGAGCTGGTATGACGTCTAATTTAAGGTCTCAAAATTTTCTGAATTCGATGAGATTTCAGATTGAGAAATAAAAGAGAGTCTGAGTAAGTGGAATTTTAGGGTGTTTACAACTGTTTAGTAAGTACTGTGACTGATTAGAGATTAAAAATGCATTTTGCCTCATTGGATCTTTTTTCTTTTTTCTTTTTTTTTTTTCCAGCAGGAAAGAAAAGCTTAGAAGGGGAAGTAAAGAAAGCAACAGTACACTTCCAGAAGTGGAAGCGGGCCTGAGCAAGAGAAGTGTAGCTCAAAACGCCTTTTTTTATCTTTTTAAAATCATTTCATTTTTTTCTGTATAACCAATTTAAATTAGTAATAGCCCAGTGACTTACACATTACAGGGTGCTCAATAATTGTTAGCTGAACTGAATTCAGTTCTGACAATCCAACTGGATAGACAGTCTGAGCTTTCGAGAGTTATTTTTGTTTTACATAAATCTCACTTAACAAAAGAATTATAAAGACCACAATTTTGTCCTATAATTCAATATGTCATTAAGTCTTCTGGAATCTTAGAGATATGTTTTCTTTTTTTTTCTAGTTCGGTAGACAATAAGACAATCATTTTTAAACATGTACTGATGTGTCCCAGGAAGTGTACTCAAAAGAAAGAAACTAGAGGACAAGTTTTTATGATTCCAGGATCAAGTTACATGCGCATAATATACATTAATCAAGACCATGTATAAAAGCAGGGCAGAACCTATCCATTATTTTAACAATTAAACAAATCCTAAACAAAAACAAAACAAACAGAAAATACCAAACATGACTCTCTTCCTACCCTTAACGAACTGAGAGGTTTTTCTTTCTGGGTGATAAAAATGTGAAAAAGAAACTAATCAGGAATACTACCAGGGCCAGGAGGTAGAGCCTGTACTAACTTTAAGGGAGTTACAAGGGGTAAAAGAAGGAGGGCACCTTTAAATAACCATAAAAGAGGTGAAATGCTGACATGACACAAAACTGAGTGCAAAAAAAACATTAGGTGCCTAAGGAGTTTTACTATTCCATGTCCCTCCAGAAAACCTCAGCCATTTTGAACTATTTCCAAGTAAAATGAGGAATCGTTTCATCCCCATGCGATGCTAAGCAAAAGAGGCCTTGGGACTGAGCAAACTGAAGACTATGAACCTTCCTAGACTGAGAAAACAGTCAGCAAAACCAGGGCTCTACCTAGATTGTC